ACGGGGGCGTTGACCCTCGGAACTCTCTCCAGGCAACTCCAGGTAAATAAGCACAGTATCATCAGCAGAAAGTAACTGTGTTACTTCCCATTTTGTATTTAATTCCCCATAATTTAATCCCACCCCTCTCCCGAACACCCTAGCATTTACTTCTTTTACAACCCCATCTATAAATATATTAAACAACCATGGTGACATTACACATCCCTGTCTAAGACCTACTTTTACCGGGAAGTAGTCTCCCTCTCTTCTACACACCCTAACCTGAGCCTCACTATCCTCATAAAAACTTTTTACAGCATTTAGTAACTTACCACCTATTCCATATACTTGCAACATCTGCCACATTGCTCCTCTATCCACTCTATCATATGCCTTTTCTAAATCCATAAATGAAATAAAAACTTCACTACCTTTATCTAAATACTACTCACATATATGCTTCAATGTAAACACTTGATCTACACATCCCCTATGCACTCTAAAACCTCCTTGCTCATCCACAATTCTACATTCTGTCTTACCTCTGATTCTTTCAATAATAACCCTACCGTACACTTTTCCTGGTATGCTCAGTAATCTTATTCCTCTATAATTTTTACAGTCTCTTTTGTCCCCTTTCCCTTTATATAAAGAGACTATACATGTTCTCCGCCAGTCCCTAGGTACCTTCCCCTCTTTCATACAATTATTAAACGAAAATACCAACCACTCGAACACTGTATCCCCCCCTGCTTTTAACATTTCTGTCATGATCCCGTCAGTTCCAGCTGCTTTACCCCCTTTCATTCTACGTAATGCCTCACGCACCTCCCCCACACTCACATCCAGCTCTTCTTCACTCCTGAAAGATGGTATACCTCCCTAGCCATTGCATGAAATTACCGCCTCCCTTTCTTCGTCGACATTTAAAGGTTCCTCAAAATATTCTTGCCATCTACCCAAAACCTCCATCTCCCCATCTACTAACTCCCCTACTCTGTTTTTAACTGACAAATCCATTTGTTCCCTAGGCTTTCTTAACTTGTTTAACTCACTCCAAAATTTTTTCTTATTTTCATTAAAATTTCTTGACAGTACCTCTCCCACTCTATCATCTGCTCTCCTTTTGCACTCTCACCACTCTCTTCACCTTTCTTTTAGTCTCCACATACTCTACTCTTCTTATAACACTTCTGCTTTGTAAATACCTCTCATAAGCTACCTTTTTCTCTTTTATCACACCCTTTACTTCATCATTCCACCAATCACTCCTCTTTCCTCCTGCACCCACCCTCCTATAACCACAAACTTCTGCCCCACATTCTAATACTGCATTTTTAAAACTATTCCAACCCTCTTCAACCCCCCCACTACTCATACCTGCACCAGCCCACCTTTCTGCCAATAGTTGCTTATATTTCACCCGAACTTCCTCCTCCCTTAGTTTATACACTTTCACTTCCCTCTTACTTGTTGTTGCCATTTTCCTCTTATCCCATCTACCTCTTACTCCAACTGTAGCTACAACTAGATAATGATTCGATATATCAGTTGCCCCTCTATAAACATGTACATCCTGGAGCCTACCTATCAACCTTTTATCCACCAATACATAATCTAACAAACTACTTTCATTACGTGCTACATCATGCCTTGTATATTTATTTATCCTCTTTTTCATAAAATATGTATTACTTATTACCAAACCTCTTTTTACACATAGCTCAATTAAAGGCTCCCCATTTTCATTTACCCCTGGCACCCCAAATTTACTTAATACTCCCTCCACAACATTTTTACCCACTTTAGCATTAGAATCCCCAACCACAAGTACTCTCACACTTGGTTCAAAACTCTCCACACATTCACTCAACATTTCCCAAAATCTCTCTCCTCTATACTTCTCTCTTCCCCAGGTGCACATACGCTTACTATAACCCACTTCTCACATCCAACCTTTATTTTACTCCACATAATCCTTGAATTAATACATTTATAGTCCCTCTTTTCCTGCCATAGCTTATCCTTCAACATTATTGCTACTCCTTCATTAGCTCTAACTTCTATTAGAAACCCCTGACGTAATCCCATTTATTCCTCTCCACTGAAACTCGCCTACCCCCTTCAGCTTTGTTTCACTTAAAGCCAGGACATCCAGCTTTTTCTCATTCTTAACATCTACAATCATCTCTTTCTATCATTCACACAACATCCACGCTCATTCAGACCTCCCACTTTGACAATTTTCTTCTTCTTATTCGTTTTAGTAATTATTACAGGAAAAGGGGTTACTAGCCCATTGTTCCCGGCAATTATTATTATTTTTTTTTTTTTTCAACAAGTCGGCCGTCTCCCACCGAGGCAGGGTGACCCAAAAAAGAAAGAAAATCCCCAAAAAGAAAATACTTTCATCATCATTCAACACTTTCACCACACTCGCACATTATTACCCTGCTCACACTCCAACAGATCGTCAGGTCCCAAGTATCATTCGTCTCCATTCACTCCTATCTAACACGCTCATGCATGCTTGCTGGAAGTCCAAGCCCCTTGCCCACAAAACCTCCTTTACCCCCTCTTTCCAACCCTTTCGAGGACGACCCCTAACCCTCCTTCCTTCCCCTATAGATTTATATGCTTTCCATGTCATTCTACTTTGATCCATTCTCTCTAAATGACCAGACCACCTCAACAACCCCTCTTCTGCCCTCTGATTAATGCTTTTATTAACTCCACACCTTCTCTCCTAATTTCCACACTCCGAATTTTCTGCATAATATTTACACCACACATTGCCCTTAGACAGGACATCTCCACTGCCTCCAACCGTCTCCTCGCTGCTGCATTTACCACCCCAAACTTCACATCCATATAAGAGTGTTGGTGCTACTATACTTTCATACATTCCCTTCTTTGCCTCCATAGATAACGTTTTTTGACTCCACATATACCTCAACGCACCACTCACCTTTTTTCCCTCATCAATTCTATGATTAACCTCATCCTTCATAAACCCATCCGCCGACACGTCAACTCCCAAGTATCTGAAAACATTCACTTCTTCCATACTCCTCCTCCCCAATTTGATATCCAATTTTTCTTTATCTAAATCATTTGATACCCTCATCACCTTACTCTTTTCTATGTTCACTTTCAACTTTCTATCTTTACACACATTCTCAAACTCATCCACTAACCTTTGCAATTTTTCTTTAGAATCTCCCATAAGCACAGTATCATCAGCAAAAAGTAACTGTGTCAGTTCCCATTTTGAATTTGATTCCCCATAATTTAATCCCACCCCTCTCCCGAACACCCTAGCATTTACTTCTTTTACAACCCCATCTATAAATATATTACCTAACTGTTGCATATGTGTCTTACCTAACAACCATGGTGACATTACACATCCCTGTCTAAGACCTACTTTTACCAGGAAGTATTCTCCCTCTCTTCTACATACCCTAACCTGAGCCTCACTATCCTCATAGAAGCTCTTTACAGCATTTAGTAACTTACCACCTATTCCATATACTTGCAACATCTGCCACATTGCTCCTCTATCCACTCTATCATATGCCTTTTCTAAATCCATAAATGCAATAAAAACTTCCCTACCTTTATCTGAATACTGTTCACATATATGCTTCAATGTAAACACTTGATCTACACATCCCCTACCCACTCTGAAGCCTCCCTGCTCATCCGCAATCCTACATTCTGTCTTACCTCTAATTCTTTCAATTATAACCCTACTGTATACTTTTCCTGGTATACTCAGTGAACTTATTCCTCTATAATTTTTACAATCTCTTTTGTCCCCTTTCCCTTTATATAAAGGGACTATACACGCTCTCCGCCAATCCCTAGGTACCTTCCCCTCTTTCATACATTAAACACGAGTACCAACCACTCCAGTACAGTATTATTCTGGGTGACCTAAAAATTTGCCACTCAGAGGAAGACGGTTGACTAAAATTATATAAATGGAATATTTACTAATTTTTAATTCTGCACCAATATGCACAGTAGCTGCCTTTCCTTGTAAAATTGGCATGGCATAAAATAGCTTGATTCACTTGTTCAAATAAGGGCCTTTGTACATCTTTTTATAACTGTTTTGCTTTGGGTTGAAAGGAGGGAATGCCTGGTGAATCATCACATAATTTTTATTTTTAAACATTATTACAATTTATTATTTGTCATAAAATAATTACACAGTGGTACCTCAGTATACATCCGCTTCGGAATAAGTCCAACTTGGTATATGTCCTGTTTGGACACAAAAAGTTTTGCTTGGTATACAACCTTTGTTTGGAATACGACTCATGTCCTAGAACTTGTATGGGTCAAAATGAGTAATGACACTGCGTGCTACCCTTGTTTACCTCTCTCGAGACAAAGCCATGACTGCCCACTAGCGTCAGTATTCCCATTGCTACCATTCGGTGAACAACCACTATAACTGTGAATTTTCATGTGATTTTGTGTTTTTTCATATAAATTTTTAGTAAATTCATTAACCATGAGTTCTAAGAAAGTTAATGAGAAGAACCAGGCAATGAAGAAAATGGTTAGGATCACCATGGAGGTGAAAAAAGAAATTGTTGAAGGTGGCATGTGCATCCAGGACTTGGCTGCTGCATAGTGTATGCTGAGAACAACGGTATCTACAGTTGTGAAAAACGGTAGGAACTCAACTCTTTTCAGCAAAATAAAGTGAGGTTAAATTTGCATTTATTTCATCTAATTCTTTTGTATTTATGTATGTATTTTAGTATTAAGCAGTGTTTAAATTATTTTATACAACCTCAGCAATGTATAATACATGCCAATGACAATAGGATTTTTTCATGGGAACAGATTAATTGTTTTCCCTATATTTCTTATAGGAAAATTTGTTTGGTATACATCCAGTTTGGTATAAGTCCAAGGTCTTGGAACAGATTAAGAACATATACCAAGGTACCACTGTATGTAAATTGTACAGTTATGAATGTGATTATATTGTGTTTCAGATGACAAGGTGCTTGTAGTGTGCAGAATCTGGGGTCACAACATAGTTCACATTATCAACAAACGGGTATTAGGTTTAGCCGCCTTCCAAGTACAAATCAGCGGCAACTACTAGGCTTCTCCATTTGTTGCTGGCTGAATGATGACTACCACATGTTGAATAATGGCTACATCACACTGAATGATGACTACTACATGCTGAATGAAGGCTATCACATGATGAATGATGGCTACAACACGTTGAATGATGGCTACTACATGCTGAATGATTAAGTAAGTTTATTCAGCTATACCGTACACAAATACAGTTACATAGATTATCATACATAGCAGCATATGTGTAGAGAACCTAGGATAACCCAAAAAAGTCAGACAAATGACTTATTTTCGTTGGGGTCCTTTTAATACCTTATTATTATACTATAAAGGAGATAATATCTTATTATACTGTGAAGGAGATATACAAGGAATAAGGTAAAATGAGTTATTTATATTTACATATGTGTTTGAGCTAAAAAAAAATAAAAAAATCATTGTCCTCCCTTTCTGTCGCTACATTCATTAGGCACCTTTTGGCTCTCTTCTTGAACTAGTTTATGCTATGACTGGCTTTCACATGTGCAGGCAGTCTGTTTCATTCTTTTATTGCTGTACAATAAAAGGTGTTTGAAGCCTGGACACCGACTGTCAGTGCTAAAATGTTGTGCTTTGGTTCCCAGCCTTGACAAAATTGGCAGCAAGATATTCTAGACACTGTTTGTGAGCAATTTTATAACCTTGATTTAACTTCAATATTCAAAAATATTCAGCATATCAAATTGTTGTAATTCATCCTGGCCTATATGCTCTCTTGGACCCAGGTCCAGGACGAATCTTACTATTTTGTTCTGGGTGATGTACAGTCTATCTTTCAGTTTTTTTTTATCAAGGCAGAGTACCATGAAGAACAAGCGTAGTCCATATGACATTGTATAAGGGCTAGACATAGGGTCCTGTGAGCTTCAGTAGGTAGACCAGCAGTGGGCAAACTATGGCGCCTGGGCCACATGCAGACCACCAAAGGTTTTCATGCGGCCCACCAAGATCAAGTCATATACTGTGCAGTGGAACCGTGGATTTCGCATGCACCGGATATCGGACTTTTCGAATTTCATACACTTTATTGTGTGAAATTTTGCTTCAAATTTTGGATCTTGTCTTTGGAATCACACGTATCAAACATGTCCACCCACCAGGACGCTGCTTCAGTCTGGCTCTGTCACTGGTTGAGTGAGAATTCATCCGAAACATTTTGTAATTTTTGTGCTTGTTTATTGATTGTGACTATGAAATAAGCCATCAAGGGCCCAAAGAAAGTTCCTAGTACCAGCCCTTTGGTAAAGGGCTGAGAGAGAGGGGAGAATGTGCCTTCTTCAGTGATTCTACAATATGTACAATACTAAAGCAGCAGGAGTCAATAAAGGCTATAGCGCCAGCCAGTGATAAAGTGTAGCGTTAACAGTGTAGCAAGTAAGTTAAGCAATTAAGCGATAGAAAAAGGATGACACGAAAATAAATCTTCCAGTTTTGTTGGAGGTATATAGGGAGACTGACAACATACGCTGCCCTGTGTATCTTCCACCACCCTAAACCTCTGCCAGCATCTCAATAACCACTTTATTTCTTTACATTCCCCACAATAACCACTTTATTTCTTTACATTCTCTATTACGTTTTTATACAATATTTCGTATTTATAAATTACGTACATTGTTTCAGTGTGACTAGTAGTGTGTGTAGTGGTGGTGGCCATGCACCATTATATGGCTTATGCTGTCAGTGGCCCTCATAAACCCAACAACAACACCACTACTAGTCATATATGTAATGACATCTTTTATTCATTCTAGAGTATATATCATGTTTCTATGTTATTAATATTGTTTATTATGTCATATTAGATGAATTGTGATAGATAAATAAGCCGTAGAGTTGATAATAGCATCATATTTAAGTATTTTGTCCTGTCTCCAAACAATAAACTCTCCTCCTTCCATATGCCAACAAGAGTCTTCAGTAAAGGTAAAAGTAATGTTAAATGCTCATGTATCCATTTCATTTTACTTCCTGGTAAAAGTAGGTCTTAGACAGGGATGTGTAATGTCACCATGGTTGTTTAATATATTTATAGATAGGGTTGTAAAAGAAGTAAATGCTAGGGTGTTCGGGAGAGGGGTAGGATTAAATTATGGGGAATCAAATACAAAATGGGAATTGACACAATAGCTTTTTGCTGATGATACTGTGTTTATGGGAGATTCTGAAGAAAAATGGCAAAGGTTAGTGGATGAGTTTGGGAGTGTGTGTAAAAGTAGAAAGTTGAAAGTGAACATAGAAAAAGAGTAAGGTGTTGAGGGGTATCAAATGATTTAGATAAAGAAAAATTGGATATCAAGTTGGGGAGGAGGAGTATGGAAGAAGTGAATGCTTTCAGATGCAGTGGACCCCCGGCATACGATGGCATTGGTATACGTTAAATCTGGCATACGATACATTTTAACGCAAAAATTTTGCCTCGCCACACGTTAAAAAACCCGCCACACGCGATTCGTCCGGGATGCGTCCCACGTGTGTCCTCAGCTGCCCCGTGTGTGCCAGTGTTTACAAGCCAGCCAGTGCGGTCGCATCCACACATACAATCGGTACATTTCATATTATCACAGCGTTTTTAGTGATTGTACCTGCAAAATAAGGGAGAAAAAGTTAGCATATGAGAAGTTTTTACAAAGTAGAAGTGATGCAAGGAGGGAAGAGTATATGGAGAAAAAGAGAGAGGTTAAGAGAGTGGTGAAGCAATGTGAAAAGAGAGCAAATGAGAGAGTGGGTGAGATGTTATCAACAAATTTTGTTGAAAATAAGAAAAAGTTTTCGAGTGAGATTAACAAGTTAAGGAAGCCTAGAGAACAAATGGATTTGTCAGTTAAAAATAGGAGAGGAGAGTTATTAAATGGAGAGTTAGAGGTATTGGGAAGATGGAGGGAATATTTTGAGGAATTGTTAAATGTTGATGAAGATAGGGAAGCTGTGATTTCGTGTATAGGGCAAGGAGGGACAACATCTTGTAGGAGTGAGGAAGAGCCAGTTGTGAGTGTGGGGGAAGTTCGTGAGGCAGTAGGTAAAATGAAAGGGGGTAAGGCAGCCGGGATTGATGGGATAAAGATAGAAATGTTAAAAGCAGGTGGGGATATAGTTTTGGAGTGGTTGGTGCAATTATTTAATAAATGTATGGAAGAAGGTAAGGTACCTAGGGATTGGCAGAGAGCATGCATAGTTCCTTTGTATAAAGGCAAAGGGGACAAAAGAGAGTGCAAAAATTATAGGGGGATAAGTCTGTTGAGTGTACCTGGTAAAGTGTATGGTAGAGTTATTATTGAAAGAATTAAGAGTAAGACGGAGAATAGGATAGCAGATGAACAAGGAGGCTTTAGGAAAGGTAGGGAGTGTGTAGACCAGGTGTTTACAGTGAAACATATAAGTGAACATTATTTAGATAAGGCTAAAGAGGTCTTTGTGGCATTTATGGATTTGGAAAAGGCGTATGACAGGGTGGATAGGGGGGCAGTGTGGCAGATGTTGCAGGTGTATGGTGTAGGAGGTAGGTTACTGAAAGCAGTGAAGAGTTTTTACGAGGATAGTGAGGCTCAAGTTAGAATATGTAGGAAAGAGGGAAATTATTTCCCAGTAAAAGTAGGCCTTAGACAAGGATGTGTGATGTCACTGTGGTTGTTTAATATATTTATAGATGGGGTTGTAAGAGAAGTAAATGCGAGGGTCTTGTCAAGAGGCGTGGAGTTAAAAGATAATCACACATAAAGTGGGAGTTGTCACAGTTGCTCTTTGCTGATGACACCGTACTCTTGGGAGATTCTGAAGAGAAGTTGCAGAGATTGGTGGATGAATTTGGTAGGGTGTGCAAAAGAAGAAAATTAAAAGTGAATACAGGAAAGAGTAAGGTTATGAGGATAACAAAAAGATTAGGTGATGAAAGATTGGATATCAGATTGGAGGGAGAGAGTATGGAGGAGGTGAATGTATTCAGATATTTGGGAGTGGACGTGTCAGCGGATGGGTCTATGAAAGATGAGGTGAATCATAGAATTGATGAGGGGAAAAGGGTGAGTGGTGCACTTAGGAGTCTGTGGAGACAAAGAACTTTGTCCTTGGAGGCAAAGAGGGGAATGTATGAGAGTATAGTTTTACCAACGCTCTTATATGGGTGTGAAGCATGGGTGATGAATGTTGCAGCGAGGAGAAGGCTGGAGGCAGTGGAGATGTCATGTCTGAGGGCAATGTGTGGTGTGAATATAATGCAGAGAATTCGTTGTTTGGAAGTTAGGAGGAGGTGCGGGATTACCGAAACTGTTGTCCAGAGGGCTGAGGAAGGGTTGTTGAGGTGGTTCGGACATGTAGAGAGAATGGAGCGAAACAGAGTGACTTCAAGAGTGTATCAGTCTGTAGTGGAAGGAAGGCGGGGTAGGGGTCGGCCTAGGAAAGGTTGGAGGGAGGGGGTAAAGGAGGTTTTGTGTGCTAGGGGCTTGGACTTCCAGCAGGCATGCGTGAGCGTGTTTGATAGGAGTGAATGGAGACAAACGGTTTTTAATACTTGACGTGCTGTTGGAATGTGAGCAAAGTAACATTTATGAAGGGGTTCAGGGAAACCGGCAGGCTGGACTTGAGTCCTGGAGATGGGAAGTACAGTGCCTGCACTCTGAAGGAGGGGTGTTAATGTTGCAGTTTAAAAACTGTAGTGTAAAGCACCCTTCTGGCAAGACAGTGATGGAGTGAATGATGCTGAAAGTTTTTCTTTTTCGGGCCACCCTGCCTTGGTGGGAATCATCCAGTGTGATAATAAAAAACTAAAATAAAACCTGCAAAATAAGTCACCATGGGCCCCAAGAAAGCTTCTAGTGCCAACCGTGCAGTAAAAAAGGTGAAAATTACTATGGAAATGAAGAAAGAGATAATTGCTAAGTACAAAAGTGGAGTGCATGTCTCGGAGCTGGCCAGGTTGTATACCAAACCCCAATCAACCATCGCTACTATTGTGGCCAACAAAACGGCAATCAAGGAAGCTGTTCTTGCAAAAGGTGCAAGTTTGTTTTCGAAACATCGCAAGTCCTCGAAGATGTTGAGAGACTGTTATTGGTGTGGATAAACGAAAAACAGATAGCAGGAGATACCATATCTTAGGCGATCATATGTAAAAATGGTGGGAAATACATACTATCGTACCACGGTCAGCTGTTGCTGCACCACCATCAGTTGTTGCTGCACCACAGTCAGCTGCTGCTGTACCACTGTCAGCTGTTGCTGTACCACCATCAGCTGTTGCTGCACCACAGTCAGCTGTTGCTGCACCATGGTCAGCTGTTGCTGAACCACGGTGAGTTGCTGTTGCACCACAGTCAGCTGCTGCTGCTGCACCACAGTCAGCTGCTGCTACACCACCGTCATCTGTTGCTGCACCACAGTCAGCTGCTGCTGCACCAAAATCAGCTGTTGCTGCACCATGGTTAGCTGGTCCTAGTGGCATTAAAAGAAGAAAGGAAGTAACCCTGGAAAAGGACGTGCTACATAAAGTCCTAATGGAAGGGGATTCCCCCTCTAAACATTAACAGCTTCCACACACTCCCCTCCTCCCATCCCATCAATCATCACCAGATCTTCAATAAAGATAAGTGTCAGTTTGTGTATATTAAAATTAATATTTCATGTGGTAAAATTTTTTTTTTCATACTTTGTGGTGTCTTGCACGGATTGATTTGATTTCCATTATTTCTTATGGGGAAAATTAATTTGCCTTATGATAATTTCGGCATACGGTGAGCTCTCAGGAACGGATTAATATCGTATGCCGGGGGTCCACTGTACTTGGGAGTTGACGTGTCGGCGGATGGATTTATGAAAGATGAGGTTAATCATAGAATTGATGAGGGAAAAAAGGTGAGTGGTGCGTTGAGGTATATGTGGAGACAAAAAACGTTATCTATGCAGGCAAAGAAGGAAATGTATGAAAGTATAGTAGTACTAACACTCTTATATGGGTGTGAAGCTTGGGTTGTGAATGCAAGCAGCGAGGAGGCGGTTGGATGCAGTGGAGATGTCCTGTCTAAGGGCAATGTGTGGTGTAAATATTATGCAGAAAATTCGGAGTGTGGAAATTAGGAGAAGGTGTGGAGTTAATAAAAGTATTAGTCAGAGGGCTGAAGAGGGGTTGTTGAGGTGGTTTGGTCATTCAGAGAGAATGGATCAAAGTAGAATGACATGGAGAGCATTTAAATCTGTATGGGAAAGAAAGCCGGGTAGGGGTCGTCCTCAAAAAGGTTGGAAGGAAGGGGTAAGGGAGGTTTTGTGGGCGAGGGGCTTGGACTTCCAGCAGGCGTGCATGAGTGTGTTCGATAGGAGTGAATGGAGTCGAATGGTATTTGGGACTTGGCAAGCTGTTGGAGTGTGAGCAGGGTAATATTCAGTGAAGGGATTCAGGGAAACCGGTTATTTTTATGTAGCCGGACTTGAGTCCTGGAAGTGGGAAGTACAGTGTCTGCACTCTAAAGGAGGTGTTCGGGATATTAGCAGTTTGGAGGGATATGTTGTGTATCTTTATATGTATATACTTCTAAACTGTTGTGTTCTGAGCACCTCTGCAATAACAGTGATTATGTGTGAGTGAGGTGAAAGTGTTGAATAATGATGAAAGTATTTTCTTTTTGGGGATTTTCTTTCTTTTTGGGTCACCTTGCCTTGGTGGGAGACGGCCGACTTGTTTAAAAAAAAAAAATTATTGCTCATTGTTTTCTGTATGTAAAACTATAGTTATTCTTTAAAAAATGTATTTTTTGTTAATATTTTTGGGTGTCTGAAACGTATTAATTTTTTTTTTAATAAGTCTGCCGTCTCCCACCGAGGCAGGGTGACCCAAAAAAGAAAGAAAATCCCCAAAAAGAAAATACTTTCATCATCATTCAACACTTTCACTTCGCTCATACATAATCACTGTTTTTGCAGAGGTGCTCAGAATACAACAGTTCAGAAGCATATACTTATAAAGATACGCAACACATCCCTACAAACTGCCAGTATCCCAAACCCCTCCTTTAAAGTGCAGGCATTGTATGTACTTCCCATTTCCAGGACTCAAGTCCGGCTATATAAAAATAACCGGTTTCCCTGAATCCCTTCACTAAATATTACCCTGCTCACACTCCAACAGCTCGCCAGGTCCCAAATACCATTCGTCTCCATTCACTCCTAACACGCTCACCCATGCTTGCTGGAAGTCCAAGCCCCTATCCCACAAAACCTCCTTTACTCCCTCCCTCCAACCTTTTCGAGGATGACCCCTACCCCGCCTTGCTTCCCCTACAGATTTATACTCTCTCCATGTCATTCTACTTTGATTCATTCTCTCTAAATGACCAAGCCACCTCAGCAACCCCTCTTCAGCCCTCTGACTAATACTTTTATTAACTCGACACCTTCTCCCAATTTCCACACTCCAAATTTTCTGCATAATATTTACACCACACATTGCCCTTAGACAGGACATCTCCACTGCCTCCAACCGCCTCCTTGCTGCAGCATTTACAACCCAAGCTTCACACCCATATAAGAGTGTTGGTACTACTGTACTTTCATACATTCCCTTCTTTGCCTCCATAGATAACGTTATTTGTCTCCACATGTACCTCAACGCACCACTCGCCTTTTTTCCTTCATCAATTCTATGATTAACCTTATCCTTCATAAATCCATCTGCTGACACGTCAACTCCCAAATATCTGAAAACATTCACTTCTTATGGGAAATATTACTTCGGTTTTCGCACGTTTCGGATTTAGAATGACCTTCTGGAACAGTTTAAGTACGAAAATCGGGGTTCCACTGTACTTGATTAAAAAATTAATTTCTTTTTTTCTTTTAAAACCTTTTATTTTGCCTATTTTAAATATTAATTATTTACTTAATATACTATGCAGCCCTTTAAAATTGTGAATTTCTGAATGTGGCCCCTGCAGTGAAAAGTTTGCCCACCCCTGCGGTAGACACTGTGCTTGTCTGTAGAGGAACTTCAGTCTGGCATTCGCTTTCTATACTACCCTGTTCCCTATCAATTTTCCTGACATGCATGGGTCAAAGGGGATTCTCAGATATTTTACTGAGGAAACTGAAGTGATGAGTTCCCCATTACACCGGATATTAAAATTATTTACCCTTCTCAGTTTATGTTTCATGCCAAAGAGTATGGTTTCCATTTTTCCGAGGCATAATGATACTAGTTTGTTGTAGGACTTCAGTTCCAGCATTATTACATTAGCTGACACTAACAGAGCACTGTCATCCACATACAGTAGGAGTTTGCACTTGACACTGATGGGCATGTCGTTTACATAACATAGAAATAATAAAGGACCCAGAATGCTAGGGACCTCCACATGCTATCAGCAGGGGTTCTGATTCTGTTTTGTTGATTTTGACAATTTGTTTCCTGTTGCTAAGATAGGACTTAAACCAGTCTGTGGAACCTATGCCGATAGCTTGAAGTTTCTTACGTAATATATTGTGGTTGAGAGTATCAAAGACCTTTTGCAAGTGTAAGGTTACCATTCCTATGAGGTTCCCTATTGACATTTCAGGGAGGTGTCAGTTGAGTAAGATCTACTAAAGCCTGATTGGTAACTATGAAGAATGTTGTTGTCATTAAGGTACTTAACTATGTACTTGACAGTATACTGCCCTCTCTAGAATTTTGGATATTACACTTAAGTATACTAACAGGCCTATATGTAGTTGCTGACATCAGACCTACTATTTTTCTTGAAGACAGGAGTAACTCTGGCTTCCTTGAACCCTTCTGGTACAGTATTAGTGATGGACAAATTTATTATGTGATTAACAGGGACTGTCGTTCAGAGGCACCATCTTTTAGGAGCTTAGACGGGATGTTATCTGGGCCAGTGCTCTTAGTTGCATTTAACCTGCTTAGTTCTTTCTGCACAAAGTCGTGAGATACACTTACTAGTTGACAACTGTTTGGGATTACCCATTTATTGGTATAGTATGTTTCAAACTTATCAGAATCTGTGTTAAAGGTATTTGATGCAGCCTGTAGTTTACTTACTAATGTTGATGAGACAGTTGTGTAATATGAATTAAAACAATTTGCCACTTTGGTTGTTTTGTGGCATACCTTATTATCGATATTTAGTACTACGTTAGATCTATCTATGGGTTTATGGCTATATCCCAACTATTTTAGTTGTTGCCAGAGCTTTCTGGGGTTATTTGTGTACTCTTCAATTTTTGAGCAACACTGCCTTGCCTTTGCTTCCTTTACAAGCCTCTGCACTGTTCCTCACCCTTTGGAATTCATTTAGTACTGCAATATCCTGTCTATTTGCATTTAAATCTTTTTAGCAACTGGTCTCTGAATTTCATATCTAATATCTCAGTAGTCATCCAGGGTTCAGGTCTTCGTTTAATCCTAACTTCTTTAACTGGTGCAATATTATCAAGGATGACAGTGAACATCGTTTTGAATTTTTCCTAGGTATCATATACGTTAATGCAACTTGTTACCACTGTCCAGTTCTGTAGTTTCTAGTTGACTTCAATTTTATTGTCTTGTGTAGGTCTATCTGTTTCATAGTGATTTTCCTGGTGCAGTAAATGATGAAATGATCACTAAGACATGTGGTAATGACGCCTGACTGACTAATGTTCTCAGAGCGGTTACAAAGTATGCGGTCACTTAGGGTGGCTGAGAACCGTGTGATCCGGGTTGGTGTATTAATTAGTTGAGTAACTATTTAGACCTTGAATTTGTTTATATCTTTTACATAGCCTGTTATTTTGCTGTTGAAAATAGATATTGAAGTCTCCCAGTATTACTGTCTCATAATTGCTCTCAATTCCGGACAAGACTCTTCAAAAGTCTTCTAAGAACTGGTCATGGGTGGGAGGGCAGTAACTAGTTCCTTCTAAGATCGCTTCAGTTACCTAGTATGCAATAATGTATATTAAAATGTACTGCTCCATAACCTATGTTAATATAGAGTAAGAATTAGGATTAGTCTGCCTGAAATGCCTAGTCATGCTAGAGGCCTTCCTTGTGATTAATATTTTATAATATGTAAACCACACATTGTAAGCTTCGCAAGGAAATAAACATTTTCATTTTCATTTCAAGATAAACCATACCACAGGCGGGATTTGAACCCGCTGTCAGAGAGTCTGGAGTTTTGAGACTCTCCGACAGCGGGTTCAAATCCCGCCCATGGTATGGTTTGTTTGCAATCGTGTCATTACGATTTCGTGAGTCATTTCAAGATAAGTTTGGTCTTGGGAAGCAACACTTCAAACCATAAAATCTACAGTTTATTGTCATTTAAATCAGGTCTTGGATTGTAGGCCAAGTTATTTCTTATGTAGGCATATATTCCACCACCTTTTCTATTCCTGTCTAAGCGTTTTATCTTGTAACCTTCTATTTTGATCTCGTCATCAGTCACTGAATCATCCAACCAGGATTCATAGAGGGATATAACTGCCTCCCTAGTTCTGTTAGCTAGAATCCTAATCTTTGCCAATTTTGGAAAAAGTGATCTTGTGTTGACATGAATCAAGTGAAGGCCTGTTGTCATAAAACAATCATAATCATCACTATATGGCAAGGGGTCATTTGTATTAAAATTAGGTAAATCAGTGTCATCATTGATAAAGGGTAACTCTGCCAAAGTGCATTTGTTAAAAACAAAATGAAATCTGGTATCATTACCATAATCGAACACATCCATTATGCAGCCACCCCATTTTACATAAGGTATATTTACTGTTTTTTCTTACCTTAGTACAGTATATACATATGTCTGGTGGTGTCTGGGATAATAAGAATGGTTCTATTGTCTCACACTGACCTGTGTGCATTACAACCAGTTCTTGTTGGAGTCCCAAAGGGGAGTGTCCTTGGCCCAGTTCTCTTTCTCATTTTTATTTTATTTTTTTTTTATTTATTTTATGTCTTTGCAAACAGTACATTGAGATTTTATATTTACAGTAGTGGGTTGCAGTGCAAAGAGAGCCTCTATTATGCCTAGGCATTATGGGCCAACTTAACATTATTGGCTTACAGACTACTTAACACTAAGTATTATATCATAGTTGTACAGTAGGATAGTAATTATTTCATAGTTGAACAGTAGATTATTAATTATAAGTGAATTAAATTTGTATAAGGCAAAGGATATATTCATATAGTCTAAAATGCTTTTTGTGAAAACAATGGTTCAGTTATATTCCTGTCAACAATGGATAAAAGGTTCAAAGTGATTGTGACCTCCCAAATGCATCTAAACTCCTTAAACCCATTTTATTTGCAGATAACACTACTTATGTCTTCTCTTACCCAAACCCAACCATACTAACAGACACTGTAAATACTGAACTACTAAAATATCTACTTGGATGACCACCAACGAACTTACCCTCCATATAGACCTAACCTATTTTATGCTGTTTGGAAACAGAGCTACAAATGTACAGCTAACATACTGATAAATAGTTCACCTATTTCTAGACACATAGAGGGCAAATTTCTAGGTCTCCACCTCGACTGCAATCTCAAATTCCAAACTCACATACAGCAAATATCCAAGAAAGTCTCCAAAACAGTAAGCATCATCTCAAAAACATGGTACTATGTACCCCGATCAGCTCTTCTTGCACTATACCACTCTCGTCTACCCTTACCTCACTCATGGTATTTGTGTATGGGGCTCAACCACAGCAAATCACCTTAAACCATTAATAACCCAACAAAAACTGCAGTGCAATTGATTACAAAATCCTGTAAATAGACAGCATACTCCTCTGCAACATCCACACTTATTGTGCCTACTACATACACAGAACTCTCCTCTCAAACTCCTACTTGATAACTACAACAAAACACACAACCATGATACAAAACACAAATCACTCTTTGATATCCCTCGTATCCATCTCTCCCTGTGCTAAAATGCTATGCACATAAAGGGCCCAAAGGTCTGGAATTCATTACCAAAACACACTAAAGGACCCCTGCTTGTAAATCAGTTTAAGGCCCAACTTAGAAATCTCATCACCCAAAATTAACCAAACAAGCTATACTTAATACCTACCAGTTATTCAAAAGCAACACAAAAAAGTACTAATAATGTCTCAATTTCAACACTGAATATTATGCTGAAGATTGCTCAGCCATGTACTCATTACTTCAAAATTAGTATGTTCAAATTTCATTGTTTTGAATACTAAATTGTGTTACATGTACGTGTATATTCAACACGCTGGCCGTGTTGTTTTTTCTAAAGTTTGTCACTCTTTATTTCATTGGAAGTACTAATACCATAGGGGTTATACTCTGCTTTGGGGAATAGGGGGCAATCAGATTCAATCCAAGGAGAGTAACTCCAGTTCTTTAGATGAAGATCCCTTCAACATCTTTAAAGCACCATTGTGTATAAAAAAAAAAAGATTAACATGGTCTTTTTGTTTGTAAGTAGGAGACTCCTCCAGGGAGGGTTCCTTTATGCTGATAAGGGGCTCTTGATGTCATACACGATCTGCACTTCCTTTTTTTTTATTAATCTTGATTTTCTCCCATTCTGCCCTTAACTTCAAAAATCCCTGGGAGTGTATAGCCCCTACATATGTAGCACTTCCCCTAAATATAACAATAATAAGCCAGTGAACAGTTACAGAAAAAGTATTATTTGATAGTTCTTTGTGTTGTTTGTGTGGCTTGTATAACCTTGCTTTAGTTTATCATATATGGGTATGTTTTATTTCAATCAACTTTTGTGTATTCCTCAACGTGTAAATTATAAATAAAAATTAAGAACTTTTGGATATGTTTTTCTTTCATCTTCACTCTCCTCAAAATCCTCATTCTTCACTCCTCCAAATCCATGTTCTTTTTGTATTCCATATCCCTGTTCATCACCACTCCTTCAAATCTTTATTCTTCACTCGTTGCAACAATATCAATTATCCAGAAAAGTTTTGTTATAAAATTTAAATGATACAAAATAATTTTCCATAAAGAAGACTTGATGCTGGTGAAGGGTTTTAAAAAGATATGAGGATTGGCCAGCGTTGTATGACCCATACTGGTTTGGCACTTTTTTGGTCGACTGCAATCATTCACCTGCCCTTCCCCAAGCACTGTGTTTCCTCAAGTGTTTAGCGCCTCTTCCTCTTCATGAATGTAATCTTAACACAAATTTTTGAGAGGGTTTTCTACAGACTGTCTCCTAGTGAGGCTCCTTGAAGCCAGTGATGGGGCTTTTGATCCAAGGAATTTGACCTCTGCTCTCCTTCCCTGGGTCGTCAAACCAGATTTCTTCCCATTCCCCTTAGATGCTGTATGACCCTTGTGGGTTTAGCACTCACACATGAATGTAGAAGTAATAATAATCATAATAATTTCTACAAATATACTTTCAATCTTAAAATAGGAAATAAACTGCTATACACCAAGTTGACAAATTTCAACATGTATAGGCCTATTATGTTGCAGTGTCTGACAGATTGTAATAATGTTGGTAGAATTACCGACTATGTAAAGTAAAAGGACACAAGTGTAACTAATGTGACATTTTTATTGTGGCAATGTTTCGCCCTCCAGGAGATTTGTCAAGCCGTTACGGCTTGACAAATCTCCTTTTACTTTATATAGCTGGACTTGAATCCTGGAAATGGGAAGTACAATGCCTGCACTCTAAAGGAGGGGTTCGGGATATTAGCAGTTTGGAGGGATATGTTGTGTATCTTTATACGTATATGCTTCTAAACTGTTGTGTTCTGAGCACCTTTGCAAAAACAGTGATTATGTGTGAGTGAGGTGAAAGTGTTGAATGATGATGAAAGTATTTTCTTTTTGGGGATTTTCTTTCTTTTTGGGTCACCCTGCCTCGGTGGGAGACGACCGACTTGTTGAAAAAAAAAAAGTATAGGCCTACTTTGTTGTAGGCCTATAGAATACAATGAATTGTAAAAATTATTTTTATCAAAATTATATGTACCACACTTACTCCAGGGGCAGCACTAACATGATGGGGAAAAACTTCAGCTCCTAAAAAAATTTGCTCAGCTCCCTAAATGAAATAGAAACAATAATAATAATGCTGCTTCAAAGCTGGTGTTCAACCCCCCTTCCCTTCTGTCCAACCAGACAGCAACACCTTGCTAAACTCTTCCCCACAGAACTTCTGGCACAGCCCCTTAGTTGCTCCCTTTATATAACATTGTAATCCACATAGACATCTTTTGACAGAATAATGCCGCAGTGTGTGGCATTTTACAAGATTAGGCAAGAACTGCGTTTATGTAGCACATCCATCACACATGATTGATTTCCTGTCAAACAAAAACAAACACAAAATGGTTTTTCCTGTCAAAATATATCTCATGGGATAGATTTTACAGAGTTAATGACATAGGATTTTTTTTTTTACTTCATACTCCATCTCACAGGAAGACTTCACTCTTATACTCAGTGTCATAACTTTTCCAATACAGTCACAATGTTTCACTTTCTCTAGACCCGAATAAAAAAGCATCTCATGACTTGAGCTTCAGATCACCTGCTTCTCCTTCCATGAGAATGCCTATTTCCTGCTCATGAATGTTTTTGGTAATGTGGAAATTTTTTACATAATTTCCTAAATGTAGAACATATAAAATGAATAATATAACTGCATGTTAATATGTGATGCCATTTCAACCCTTTGAGAAATTTTGAGTGAGGGGGGGAGGCAGAACAGCCAGGGGAGTGACACTTGAAGAGACGCCATTTGTAATTTGTGAACACTAGTTGTCATGGGAAATTCTACTAATAATCCGGTGTTTCCCGAGCCAAATTGGGGGGTTTCGGCCTGAATTTGTAATTAGGAACCCACGTTAATGCACCCTGCTGAAGAATTGGGACAGGAAATTTCTGGGACCTCAAGAATTACGTGTGGATGGTGGAAGATAAGGGATACCTCCATCACTCACAGGGAAGCACACCATTAGTCCTAGCATTTAGATCTCTAGCTGGCCAGTGTAGGGTCTAGGTGCCAGGCAGGTGTTGTGGTGTGATCCATGTACAGTAATTAAATTGTAAGTGGTAATACAAATTTCTTTTGTGTACTCAGCAAGCCTAATTATATACAGTTTACAACTTTAATTTACCAGAGTAGCTGGTTTTAATATTGTAATTATTAATTTAATGTCATATCTAGCTTTTTGTGAAAATGGATGGGAGTGGGCATTGAGGGAGTTACAGTCCTGCGACCCACTGTGCTAATTTACTCTCAATAATAATTCACAATAGGTAAGAACAGATGAAACATGGATGTCTTAGGCTGGATAACACTTGTTTTTCTCTTGCATCTGTGATAACAGGGACACCACATGAAAGTAGTCACAGACATAAATTACCCCTGCTAGCTATACAACATAATATTAACACAGCAAGGTCACATTTATTAAGTACTGATGTGTGGGAGGACTAGGGATCTGTGAACAGGTCAGGGAACATCATTTTACCAATATGGGCATTTTCTAAAGGTCTTGTTGAATTAGGTCAATCGTGCTGCGCCTTTTCGTAGTTGCTGTAATCAAATAAATTATTTTTCTCCTGTGGTGATACTAGGCTGAGGTTCCCACCTGGCAGTATATTGATAGCCTGGGGATTAGTTGTGATGAGTTTAGTTTTTAACAGCATCAGCTTCCCCAGATTATTAACATCCATACGTTCCTGCTCTGGTATGATGCGGCTAGAGGAGGTGATGGAGGCGTTAGCACCAATCACCACACTCTCCAGGGAGGCTATTTCAGAGTTTACAATGTCTATATGCGTGCCACTTACAAATTTCATGGCAGCTATGCTAAGTCTGGAGTTAGTTATGTAAGCATAGCTCGGATCACTTAGCGCATCCAATTGCTGCACCTCAATAGAAAATGGCGAGTTCCAAGATTCTTCCAGGGATTCTGTTGACACCAGAGTAGTATAGTATGACTTTCCTGGGCAGGTGAGGAGAGATGATGAGGATGCTGTTGTAGATTTGCAGCATCTTACAGGCAGCTCTATGCAACCTCAGTTGTGCTGCCCCACAGCTAGATCCACCTCCTCATCCTGTCATGAAAATGTAATGTAAAATGCAGTAAAATGTGTTGGCCAATGAAAGGTTGGTCCTTCATACACACAATGATTGTTGTTAATGTATCTGTTTAGCCTAATTTTAAAAATTACCAAAAAATCAGTTTGTACCAGTCTTCTATAAATATATGTTATTATACCACTTCATAACAATATTCACTTAAAATATTTTTTTCCTCATTTTAATCCATTGTTATATTAAACTCATTATTTGCATTCTCTTTATTTATGCTTTTAAAAAGAATTTTTTTATTATTATCACACTGGCCGATTCCCACCAAGGCAGGGTGGCCCGAAAAAGAAAAACTTTCACCATCATTCACTCCATCACTGTCTTGCCAGAAGGGTGCTTTACACTACAGTTTTTAAACTGCAACATTAACACTCCTCCTTCAGAGTGCAGGCACTGTACTTCCCATCTCCAGGACTCAAGTCCGGCCTGCCGGTTTCCCTGAACCCCTTCATAAATGTTACTTTGCTCACACTCCAACAGCACGTCAAGTATTAAAAACCATTTGTCTCCATTCACTCCTATCAAACACGCTCACGCATACCTGCTGGAAGTCCAAGCCCCTCGCACACAAAACCTCCTTTACCCCCTCTCTCCAACCTTTCCTAGGCCGACCCCTACCCCGCCTTCCTTCCACTACAGACTGATACACTCTTGAAGTCATTCTGTTTCGCTCCATTCTCTCTACATGTCCGAACCACCTCAACAACCCTTCCTCAGCCCTCTGGACAACAGTTTTGGTAATCCCGCACCTCCTCCTAACTTCCAAACTACGAATTCTCTGCATTATATTCACACCACACATTGCCCTCAGACATGACATCTCCACTGCCTCCAGCCTTCTCCCCGCTGCAACATTCATCACCCATGCTTCACACCCATATAAGAGCGTTGGTAAAACTATACTCTCATACATTCCCCTCTTTGCCTCCACGGACAAATTTCTTTGTCTCCACAGACTCCTAAGTGCACCACTCACTCTTTTTCCCTCATCAATTCTATGATTCACCTCATCTTTCATAGACCCATCCGCTGACACGTCCACTCCCAAATATCTGAATACATTCACCTCCTCCATACTCTCTCCCTCCAATCTGATATTCAATCTTTCATCACCTAATCTTTTTGTTATCCTCATACCTTACTCTTTCCTGTATTCACCTTTAATTTTCTTCTTTTGCACACCCTACCAAATTCATCCACCAATCTCTGCAACTTCTCTTCAGAATCTCCAAGAGCACAGTGTCATCAGCAAAGAGCAGCTGTGACAACTCCCACTTTGTGTGTGATTCTTTATCTTTTAACTCCACGCCTCTTGTCAAGACCCTCGCATTTACTTCTCTTACAACCCCATCTATAAATATATTAAACAACCACGGTGACATCACACATCCTTGTCTAAGGCCTACTTTTACTGGGAAATAATTTCCCTCTTTCCTACATACTCTAACTTGAGCTTCACTATCCTCGTAAAAACTCTTCACTGCTTTCAGTAACCTACCTCCTACACCATACACTTGCAACATCTGCCACATTGCCCCCCTATCCACCCTGTCATACGCCTTTTCCAAATCCATAAATGCCACAATGACCTCTTTAACCTTATCTAAATACTGTTCACTTATATGTTTCACTGTAAACACCTGGTCCACACACCCCCTACCTTTCCTAAAGCCTCCTTGTTCATCTGCTATCCTATTCTCCGTCTTACTCTTAATTCTTTCAATAATAACTCTACCATACACTTTACCAGGTATACTCAGCAGACTTCTTCTTCTTTCAACGTACCAGCCGTATCCCACTGAGGTGGGGTGGCCCAAAAGAAAAAACTGAAGTTTCTCCTTTTAAATTTAGTAATATATACAGGAGAAGGGGTTACTAGCCCCTTGCTCCCGGCATTTTAGTCGCCTCTTACAACACGCATGACTTACAGAGGAAGAATTCTGTTCCACTTCCCCATGGAGATAAGAGGAAATAAACAAGAACAAGAATTAGAAAGAAAATAGAAGAAAACCCAGAGGGGTGTGTATATATATGCTTGTACATGTATGTGTAGTGTGACCTAAGTGTAAGTAGAAGTAGCAAGACTTACCTGTAATCTTGCATATTTATGAGACAGACAAAAGACACCAGCAATCCTACCATCATGTAAAACAATTACAGGCTTTCGTTTTACACTCACTTGGCAGGACGGTAGTACCTCCGTGGGCGGTTGCTGTCTACCAACCTACTACCTACAACTCAGCAGACTTATCCCCCTATAATTTTTGCACTCTCTTTTATCCCCTTTGCCTTTATACAAAGGAACTATGCATGCTCTCTGCCAATCCCTAGGTACCTTACCCTCTTCCATACATTTATTAAATAATTGCACCAACCACTCCAAAACTATATCCCCACCTGCTTTTAACATTTCTATCTTTATCCCATGAATCCCGGCTGCCTTACCCCCTTTCATTTTACCTACTGCCTCAAGAAATATGCTTAAATCTTATCACCCCACTGTACTCCTTTCAGGGGACTAAATAATAATACAGTATCTTTATGTACTACAAGTAATGTACAAGGTATACAGTCCTAGCTGACATCAATGATATACTACTACACAGAAAGCCCCTTGTTATGCTGAGCATTTTGGGCAAATTAGGTCAGTTTTGTTCCAGGATTCGATTCACACCAGTTGACTAACACCCAGGTACCCATTTTACTGATGGTGAACATAGACAACTGGTGTAAGGAAACATGTTCGATGTTTCCACCCCTTTGCCGGGAATCGAGCCTGGACCCTCACTGAGTGAAGCAAGAGCTTTTACCACCAGGCCACGGGGCACTGTGAGGACACAAGTGTATTCGTATCTCAGAGTTCATGACCTATTTAAAATTTTGTTACCAACGATGGTGCAAGCACATTAAAATTCATTTTTTTCCTAGGCTTCATTTGAGAAAAGCAATCACACTTCATTAATGTAAACTACTCACCAGGGCAGAACTTATGCATATCCTATATTCACTTGTGCTTTGTTCAAATCAAATCAAATCAAGTTTATTCTCTATAAAGATTACAATGCGGGGTATACATACTATAGGATATTGTGTGGTTTACATATTATAAAATACTAATTACAGAGAGGGCCACTATCACACCTAGCATGACTAGGAATATCAGGCAGAGTAAGATTAATTCAAAACTCTATATTGTTACAGATTATGGAGCAAGTTGGTATTAAGGCTAAGTAACTACATCACAGTTTGTTAATTTAGCAATGTAAATGATTTTGTTTTGGTACAATACATAGTTTCTATATTGGAGTATCACAGGCAAACTTATGACTAGTTAAGATTCATTATTTTGAGTTTCGTATTTCTGTGTTTATAGTCAATTGGGTTAGTGTAAGTGCGAATTGTGGGGGAATCATAGATATCGAGGGGAGGTCTAGGTTGTTTTTTGCGTGTATGATAAAAGAGACTAGGCGGTTTTCATGTAGTTAGCTGACGGGGTGTATCAGGGAGATAAGATGCTTTCTAATGGTAGTTTTGAAAGTGATGAATGTGTGTGCAGTTCTAGAGTTTTCAGGTAGGGTGTTCCAGATTTGAGGTCCTCTTATGTACATTGAATTTTTGTAAATGTTTAGCCGGACACGGGGAATATCATAGAGATGTTTGTGTCTGGTGTTATGCCTGTGGGTCCTGTCACAACTGAGAAGAAAGCATTTTAGGTCAGGGTTAATATTGGAATTTAAGGGTCTGTAAATGTAGGTTGCACAGTAGTAAGTGTTGCTGTAATTACAGGTGAGGCAGAGATGGCTGAGGGTACAAGGTGTAACTAAACTATTTTTCTCATCTCTTCCATTAGAGGTATTGCAGAAGAGAGTAAACAACATCACCAACATAGCACTCTTCAGCCTCACTGCTCTCATCTTCCTTTTGTGCAGCACTACAGTTAATTCGGTAACACTCTTTAGGCACACGGAGAACCCTAAAAGAAATGGTGATGAAATATACTTAGCTATCCCCGAAAGGGTATCTTTAAGAGATTGCCTGATTGTGTTTTTACTACCTACAAGGTTTTCCTTAATAATCATACAGCTGATGGTGAGGTAAGGTACATAGCACTGCCAGGCACTACACCCCATTTGGAGGTACTCTTGTTCATAATAGTATTTTTAGGCACAAAAGTGTGTGTATGTGAGAGAGAGAGATGAAAGAGATTTCCAGAAGTGATAATTCTTGATATCGGGATATACAAAGATATAAACATCCTGTTTACTGAGGAAACCATCATCCTGCAACTAGTACCATGCAGTGTGTCTGGTGCCACAGCTTCATAAACTCTACATAGCGCATCTCATCACCCACTGGATGAAGGCCTCCCTGCTATATTTTGCTCTTATAACTGCTGTACTCCACCTGTGTTCTGCTGGTAGGCTAATTTATAACATATATAGTTTTCTTTGTAAAGGGCTATTTGTGCTCAATCTATATTACAACTTATAAGAACTGTTATGTTCTTCAACAGTAAAGCCTTGTGTAAATATGCCCAATGTCCTCTCGTTCGCCCATTTAAGTAGTCAGTTTTTATTATGTATACTGAAGGGGCTGCCACATCATTTACCATAATAGGTTAATCTTCTGTTGCAGGGTCTCTTATACCAGAGCCATGTTCAATCCACCTGCAGAATAGCGGACCACCATCCACGATTGCCTTACGCTTTGGTGGAGATTACACAATTAATTTTTCCACTTATGGCTATGAAACAGACTTGCAGCTTATCAAAACTAAGCATGCTATCACTGTCAATTCTCTGTCTGCCAATAAAACAATTTTTGACGAATTAAACCCAAGCAACTGCTCAAGACAGTGTACATATATGAAGTTCTTGTTCAAAGGACAAACCTTAGAAGCTAAAATATGGTGCAATGGATGGGAAGTGCAGTTTTCAAACTTTTATCGGTTAATTAAAGAAAGAAATATAATTCTGGAATTGAGCTATGTGAGTGGAGAAGTGAACATTTGTGAAGGATATGAACAATACGACCCCCAGAAATGTGTGCCTATGGTTCAGAAATACAACACTATTCAAATCTTAATCCTAGGTGTCAGTTCCTTGATGATGTTGACAGTGGTGTGCGCTGGACTGTACATGGGTAACCACAAGTACGGCTGGCGGGTCAAACTTCAGCGAAGGACCACTTGGAGGCTGGGTAGGCACAGTCTCCTAACACTACGATTTTCAGCCTCCACCACCCACACTAATGAGGACAGCCCTGTTAATATGAGCACAATGATCTCTGGAAACATGAGCGAAAATAGATTTGCTTACAGAAATGCTGGAGTTTCTACTGCCCCGGGGGGCGTGTCCATCAACACTGCGAACTATGCCTCTGAAGGCTCTGCGAACCTTAGTAATATAGTGATCCCGAATGTTCATCAGAACACTTCGGCGAGTGGAAGATGCTTGGCAAAAGGAGTTCGGGAGAAAACCCCAGAAGATCATAATGAGTCAGGTAGTGTGAAAAGGTCACCCTGCAAGGCCAGAGGCAAGACACATCAGGCAAAATCATTACAAGAGGAAGATAAAAGTACTTCCAAAAGCAGGTTATCTCAAGTAAATAAGCTGTGGAGAAATGGCAGGTCATTTTCTCAGAGCAAGTCACCTGCTGAAATCAGATCAGCTCATAAAACCAAATTGAATACAGAAAGCAGGACAACTCGTAAAGAGGTGCTAAGTTACCCTTACAAGTCTCCTGATGAAATAAAATCAAGTTCAAGTCAAGGATCTATGTCATCAAACATGAAACCTCCAGCCCCACTTCCCAAGGAACATGTCCAGCATAAGCACACACGAAGTCCAGTGTTGGAGGAACAAGACCATCCATACCCACGAAGTCAAATGTCAGAGGAACAAGACCATCCACACACACGAAGACCAGTGTCAGAAGAACAAGACCATCCCCACACACGAAGACCAGTGTCAGAAGAACAAGACCATCCACACACACGAAGATCAGTGTCAGAAGAACAAGACCATCCATACACACGAAGACCAGTGTCAGAACAACAAGACCATCCATACACACGAAGTCCAGTGTTGGAGGAACAAGACCATCCACACACACGAAGTCCAGTGTTGGGGGAGCAAGACCGTCCACACACATCAAGACTAGTGTTGGGGGAACAGAAGAACAGTATATATGGGAGCATTTGGCAGAGGAATAGTGTAAATACAGCCTCTCCTCACTAAGCGACGGAGTACCATTCCTAAGACCACGCTGGTAAACGAATTTGTTGCTAAGTGAGGAGCATACTATAATGGTAGTGGGTTTGTGTCAACCATCTTTGATATTGTTTTAATGTCACCTTTGCACCATTTATAACATTTTTAGTATATTTTTATACATTTATAGAGTAGTGTACTGTATATTGTAATATACAGAATAAAGGATATCAGCTCTAATATACATTATTTAGGCATGCATACTGGTTAGAAAGCCTGTCGTAAGTCCGAGTTGTCAGTAAACAAGCACATTTAAGTGAGGAGAAGCTGTATATATATATATATATATATATAATATAATATATAAATATATATATATATATATATATTATATATGGGTCGAAGAGGTATGGGTAGGTTTAAAATTGTAGTGTTAGAGTGTTCAGCAGAAGTTGGGTTACAGGAAGTGGTGCAGGAGGAAGAGGAGCGATTGGTGGAATGATGATGTAAAGAGAGTAGTAAAGGGAGAAAAAGTTAGCATATGAGAAGTTTTTTACAAAGTAGAAGTGATGCAAGGAGGGAAGAGTATATGGAGAAAAAGAGAGAAGTTAAGAGAGTGGTGAAGCAATGTAAAAAGAGAGCAAATGAGAGAGTGGGTGAGATGTTATCAACAAATTTTGTTGAAAATAAGAAAAAGTTTTGGAGTGAGATTAACAAGTAAGAAGCCTAGAGAACAAATGGATTTGTCAGTTAAAAATAGGGAGGAGAGTTATTAAATGGAGAGTTAGAGGTATTGGGAAGATGGAAGGAATATTTTGAGGAATTGTTAAATGTTGATGAAGATAGGGAAGCTGTGATTTCGTGTATAGGGCAAGGAGGAATAACATCTTGTAGGAGTGAGGAAGAGCCAGTTGTGAGTGTGGGGAAGTTCGTGAGGCAGTAGGTAAAATGAAAGGGGGTTAAGGCAGCCGGGATTGATGGGATAAAGATAGAAATGTTAAAAGCAGGTGGGGATATAGTTTTGGAGTGGTTGGTGCAATTATTTAATAAATGTATGGAAGAGGGTAAGGTACCTAGGGATTGGCAGAGAGCATGCATAGTTCCTTTGTATAAAGGCAAAGGGGATAAAAGAGAGTGCAAAAATTATAGGGGGATAAGTCTGTTGAGTGTACCTGGTAAAGTGTATGGTAGAGTTATAATTGAAAGAATTAAGAGTAAGACGGAGAATAGGATAGCAGATGAACAAGGAGGCTTTAGGAAAGGTAGGGGGTGTGTGGACAGGTGTTTACAGTGAAACATATAAGTGAACAGTATTTAGATAAGGCTAAAGAGGTCTTTGTGGCATTTATGGATTTGGAAAAGGCGTATGACAGGGTGGATAGGGGGCAATGTGGCAGATGTTGCAAGTGTATGGTGTAGGAGGTAGGTTACTGAAAGCAGTGAAGAGTTTTTACGAGGATAGTGAGGCTCAAGTTAGAGTATGTAGGAAAGAGGGAAATTTTTTCCCAGTAAAAGTAGGCCTTAGACAAGGATGTGTGATGTCACCGTGGTTGTTTAATATATTTATAGATGGGGTTGTAAGAGAAGTAAATGCGAGGGTCTTGGCAAGAGGCGTGGAGTTAAAAGATAAAGAATCACACACAAAGTGGGAGTTGTCACAGCTGCTCTTTGCTGATGACACTGTGCTCTTGGGAGATTCTGAAGAGAAGTTGCAGAGATTGGTGGATGAATTTGGTAGGGTGTGCAAAAGAAGAAAATTAAAGGTGAATACAGGAAAGAGTAAGGTTATGAGGATAACAAAAAGATTAGGTGATGAAAGATTGAATATCAGATTGGAGGGAGAGGTATGGAGGAGGTGAACGTATTCAGATATTTGGGAGTGGACGTGTCAGCGGATGGGTCTATGAAAGATGAGGTGAATCATAGAATTGATGAGGGAAAAAGAGTGAGTGGTGCACTTAGGAGTCTGTGGAGACAAAGAACTTTGTCCTTGAGGCAAAGAGGGGAATGTATGAGAGTATAGTTTTACCAACGCTCTTATATGGGTGTGAGCGTGGGTGATGAATGTTGCAGCGAGGAGAAGGCTGGAGGCAGTGGAGATGTCATGTCTGAGGGCAATGTGTGGTGTGAATATAATGCAGAGAATTCGTAGTTTGGAAGTTAGGAGGAGGTGCGGGATTACCAAAACTGTTGTCCAGAGGGCTGAGGAAGGTTGTTGAGGTGGTTCGGACATGTAGAGAGAATGGAGCGAAACAGAATGACTTCAAGAGTGTATCAGTCTGTAGTGGAAGGAAGCGGGGTAGGGGTCGGCCTAGGAAGGGTTGGAGGGAGGTGGTAAAGGAGGTTTTGTGTGCGAGGGGCTTGGACTTCCAGCAGGCATGCGTGAGCGTGTTTGATAGGAGTGAATGGAGACAAATGGTTTTTAATACTTGACGTGCTGTTGGAGTGTGAGCAAAGTAACATTTATGAAGGGATTCAGGGAAACCGGCAGGCCGGACTTGAGTCCTGGAGATGGGAAGTACAGTGCCTGCACTCTGAAGGAGGGGTGTTAATGTTGCAGTTTAAAAACTGTAGTGTAAAGCACCCTTCTGGCAAGACAGTGATGGAAAGTTTTTCTTTTTCGGGCCACCCTGCCTTGGTGGGAATCGGCCGGTGTGATAATAAAATAAATATATTATATATATATTATATATATATATATATATATATATATATATATTATATATATATATATATATATATATATATATATATTATATACACTAGCACCATAATTAGGGTTACAGTGGACCCCTGTTTTTCGTCCAGTGCAGAAATCGTACAGTTCGGACTTCGACCACTTTTCAGCTAAATTTTACCCCGGGCTTCGTACATCCGCTCAGAAATCGTACTCATACTTTCATGACTCATTCTTGGGCACATTAAATTTCTTATTTTACATTAATATAGACATTTTCATTAATCCAGCTATGATATTTTCTTCAAAATTATATAAGGAACACGTTACATAGCATATAAACATGCAATGTTTATATGTTATGTATGTTTAATAATAATCACTCTTGGGCACATTAAATGTCTTATTTTAGGTTAATATAGACATTTTCATTAATCCATCTATGATATTTTCTTCAAAATTATATAAGAAACACGTCACATAGCATATAAACATGCGATGTTTATGTGCTATTGAGGGGTAGATCGGTGGAGGGAAAACATTACGTTTTCTCTGGTTCAGCATTAGAGAAAACTGTATGAATGCATCTGGTCCAGTCACCGCCCTTAATACATAACGCTTTTGTTTACATTTCTCGGAATGAATTATTTATTACTTCTCCCTTTGTTTATGACGGCATCTAAAGGTAGTTGTTAGAAACGATTAAATTCAGTGAACATGGTATGTCGATGGTAATAATATGGCTCTGGGCCACAGTGTGGGTAGCTGGAAGGTGTAGCCCATGTGGGCTATACCTACTGGCTACCCACATTGACTTCCTACAAATAAATACTACTCACCTCTCGCCCTAAATTAAGACTACAGATATTTTAACCCTTTCAGGGTCCGTCCCGTAGATCTACGGCTTACGTTCAGGGTCCAAACCGTAGATCTACGTCATGAGCTCAGCTCACTCTGATAAACTGTGAGTGGTACATTTGGGCCTAGATATGAGAGAATACATCTATGTGGTATGTGTGCACCACATAAAACAGATCCTGCAGCACACTGTGTATAATGAGAGAAAAACAAATCATGATTTTTTGATTAAAACAGCGACTTTGCAGTGTTTTTTCGTATGTTTTTTATAGTTCTATTTGTGATTTCTTGGTCTCATTTGATAGAATGGAAGACATATTACAGAAATAGAGATAATTTTGATTGGTTTTAGCACTGGAAATGGCTTGAAACTGAGCTCAAAGTAGCAGAAATGTTAAATTTTTGCCGATATTCAAGAGTAAACAAACGACCTCACACGTCTAATACACGCCAGCTGGTGGGTCTAATATGCATTCACAAATATGGTGATGATATTTATACAATTATTACAGTATTGCATAACAGTAAATCTTCTATTTTTTGGTGTGAATAAAAATTCATTATGTGAATAAAAAATCAAAATGGAATTATTGTAAAGCCTCAAAACATAACTAATGAACAGAGGAATGTTAGTTTAGTTCCAGGAATACCTACATTGTTTATTCTGGACCCTATTTTGAATTGGAATATTTTGAACTTTGTGTTAAACTGGCCAAATTAACAATTTCCGATCACTTTAATTTGTAGTTGAAACAGTTGACTTGGCGATTTCTTGTGCTCAATCGATAGAATAGAAGTAATACTAGTGAAATAGCTAAGAATTTGGTTGACTGGAATAATGTAATTGGCCTAAAATGGGAGTCAAAGTCGGCAAAATCGCCGATTTGTAAATATCGCTGACACATCAAAATTCGCGAGAGCATAATTTCGTCAATTTTGCATCAAATTTCGTACTTTTTGTTTTATTACCTTCACAAAAAGATTCTCTACCATTTCATAAGAAAAAATAACAATTTTTTTTTTGAAAATTCTTGGACACTGGGGCACCACTTCAGATTTGGGCCTTGGACCCTGAAGGGGTTAAGGATGAAAACCAGGGTATATCCTACTACAGTTCTGAGAATTTTCTTTTGTTGATTTTTATTCTGTAAGGCTGTTAGTGCGCTCAGGGCAATGATATCTTGATGGTTTATGTTTAGTTACCACTAAATCAGTTAAACATTTTAGTTTTCTTTACAAAAGTTATAAGATCATCACAGGCTGTCTGTATATGATTATCACAGGATGTCTGTATATGATTATCACAGGCTGTCTGTATATGATTATCACAGGATGTCTGTATATGATTATCACAGCTGTCTATGTATGATTATCACAGGCTGTCTGTACAAGATTATCACAAGCTGTCTGTATTGGACTATCACAAGTTGTATATGATTATCATGGGTGGCCTGGTGGCCCGGGTTCGATTCCCGGCAGGTGGAAACATTCTGACATGTTTCCTTACACCTGTCCTGTTCACCTAGCAGCAAATAGGTACCTGGGTGTTAGTTGACTGGTGTGGGTCGCATCCTGGGGGACAAGATTGATGACCCCAATGGAAATAAGTTAGACAGTCCTCGATGACGCACTGACTTTCTTGGTTATCCTGGGTGGCTAACCCTCTGGGGTTAAAAATCCGAACGAAATCTTATCTTATCACAGGCTGTCTGCATGTGATTATCACAGGTGTTCTGTATATTATTATTAGACTGTCTGTATATGATTTAGAATATTTTTATACTCAAATATATAATCTATATAATCATAATACGTAATTGTGATATTCCTGGGATTATCTGGAACTGATATTAATGATGAACTGGTTAGTTATGGTACACTAACGAAATGTGAGACTGACACCAAGTTAAGGAGTGCTCAGTTTAGTTTAATATGCTTATTATGCACCCCATACCCATCCTGTGGGCGGTAGTCAAAAGATTACAGAGGTACATAATGGGTCCAGGGACTGGGCCCCAGAGTTTTGATAGCTGAGCAAGTTACAAAGGTAATGAACTCCAGGTAGATCTGGTCACAATCATGACAAGTTACAAAGGTATTTACAAATTACAGAGTTTTTTTTTTTTATATTTTATTTAAAACTTTACGATGTGGATATATATTAAAAAGGCACACAAAATGAATTAATCACAAGAATCCCTAATTAACTTTTACACAAAATTAACCACACCAGACATAAAAGTGGTCTGACACCCTGTCACTCCACACACCATACTACACCCAGTGTTATACAAAAATGATAGTTGCTGTAATGACAAACTTTTGTCACTTTTTTCCTACCCCCCCCCACACCCCAAAATAATAAATAACTTTTATCACCAACCTGAATGCTCACATCTTAACTTGACATTAATGAAGAAACATAATTAGTAATTATATGAGCATGGGTGAAACAGTAACATCTAAGACACAAAACTTATTAATAACAATATTAACAATAGGGCTACATGACATTACTTAACAGTGTCACCTCGACCAGGTTAAAGAAAATATACTTGAAGAAATTAATATTCCTAAGAAGGTTGCAACAATGAATGTTAACAATTCCCAAAAGCAACTTATGTACAATTATCTTACCATGGAAACCTAACATTCTACATAGTATATAAATAAGAATTAGGTCATGATCCCATCAGTAAAGAATCCGCCAAAACACAACTAAAGTGCAGGGTACTCCCCATTATGACTGACCCGTACCCCACCTTTATGGGGTCACATCTTCCGCCATTACAAAATAATATGCTACGTTCGTTAGTAACATGACAAGCCACATCATACACTGCTCCCGACCAGCACTTGCGCCGAAAGGTACTACTCCATTGCCTCACTCCATGCAGTGGTAGGGGCCATTTCCCACCCCCCACCCGCACCCCAAAATGAAGGCTCACATCGTAACATGACATTAATGAAGAAACATAATTAGTAAGTATTGGTGAAACCGGAACACCAGAGACACAAAACATATTAATAACAATATTAACAAATGGACTACATGTCATTCCGTAACACAGTGACACCTCAACCAGGTTTAAGAAATTACACTTCATGTGGAAACTTACTCGGTCCTAAGTTCCACAGGACAGATACGTCGTACGAAGATCCCAACATGTCATGGATGGAACAGCTGGGTTGGGTGGCCCTTACACCCACCCAAAACACACACCCGTTGGTGAAGGTGGTTGGAAGGTACATCTTAATTGATAGATTTACCCTTCAAGGAAGAGGTAGGTAGTTTATACTGTTAGTGAACTAATATTAGGGCTATTGAGGCAACTGTAGATAATAATGTAGACCTAAGACCTTAATGTAGGTAGTAATAGGCCGATAATGTAGGCAAACACTAGGTTATATTAGCCAGGGAGAACTGGCAGCCCAAGTTTGAATGCTGGGGCATGGGGTTTTGAGACCGCAGTGCCTCCTTCTAAGATCAGACGCCATAAGAATAACAAATGCCGTGAATGGCAGGGTGGCGCCCCCACGTGTCTTCACATACTAGACCTAGAGAAATCTGATGGAGGCAACTCAAAGTACCGTAGATGACCTCCATCAGGCCCATACAGTAAGACAAGACTTCCCTTTCTTTCTCAGTATTCTGGCCAGTTTCTGGGGGAAATTGCGAGTGAGTTGAACTGAGGGTCTTTGTGCAGCTGGACGGCCAATGATCGGTACATGCCGGCATCTCCTCGTGGTTAAGCCTTAGAAGCTAGTGTCGCTTCCTGCATAGTTGTACTAGGGGATACACACCCCCTTGAAAACAGGAATTTCTGAGGTGCAGGCAGGTCACTAATACCGACTGAATATTGCAAGAATTAAGGCTCCTGGTTGCACATGGTTCTGAGGGGAAGTCCAGAGGGGCTAAAGCTTAGGGAGGTTGAAGACCGGGATATATTCTTTAACACCAAGTAAGTTAGTCCTTTATTCGTGCATGCAGGCGAGATTTCTTGCAACATCAGTCATTTATGGAAATCTGTCCTATAAGCCACTTGTGAGGCTGAGGTACCGACCTCAGAGCTCAGTGTCAACAGAGCTTGCTAGGGTAGGCAACTCACATGGAGGCAGTCCAGACAAATTTTCACACTTCAAGTGATGAATATTTCTAAGAGCATAGCAACAAAGCATTCCAACAAATCCCAGAGGCTACTTATGTACAATTATCTCACTATGTAAAACCTAACATTGCAACATAGTATATAAATATGAACTAGGTCATGATTCCAGCAGTAAATTATCTGCCAAAACACAAACTAAATTGCTGGGTACTCATTATGACAGTCTCATATTACAAAACATAACAGGCCGGGAGTCCATAAAATTCACATGTGCTCATCCACCTCGGTGTATCTAAGGCGCACTCAGGCGCAGGCAGCCACAACTTGGTACATGACCAAACACATCTCAGGCGCCACAGTTGCATACACATTTTTAACGATACACTATTCCTTCTCACTTGCCACACAATCTCATACTCGCATATTACAACTGTCCACCCCCCAGGAGGCGACCCCGTTTCTACCTGACAGAAATCCCTTTACCCCCGATCCTAAGGATCACCCTACACAACCAACCCCAGACCTCTCCCAACCCCTCGCAAAAAATATACTACATGAAACGCAGACTCCTCACCTCCACATATTCCACCCCCCTCAACCACCCGTCTATCCCGTAGAATCGCACCCGACGGCAAAATGCCGTGAAAGAAATGATACATCACCTCTCTTGCTCTAGGTTGTAACCTCAACTTACTAAACCTATCCCAGATAATCCCCCATGCATACATGGGGAAAACCCCCTCAACTGATGCCACAACCCTCCCCACTAATAACCTACACAGCCCACCTATTTTCACTTTCCCTGGTTCCCGTGTCAACACCAGAGCCCACAAAACAGTTTCACACATGCAGCTCTACCCCGTTATACATGCTTTTCAACCTATCATGTATCCTACCCAACCCTCCCCCACACACACACCCTCCCGCATCACCTCCCTCTTAGTGAAGATGCATTTTACCCTCCGTTTCAGGTCCAGCAATCCCCCCCCCCCCGACTCACTAGTAACATGACAACCTCTCTCTTAAGCCAATCACAACCCGAACCTCACAAGAATTTAAATACCATCCTCAGAATGCCTGATATCGCCATCCCTGTTAATGGGAACATGGCTGCCACATACTACACCTTACTATACAATAAGACATTAATGACAATAGCCTGTTGCACAAGGGTCAGGTGATATGGCGACCCTGGATTCGATCCGTCAACCTATTCGAGTTAGTCTCTCGTGCTGTACCCAGGTCATCTGCATAGATGATGCCACATTTTCAGAGTCCACCTGCCACCTCACGATGGTACGTCCCCACGCTACCCTTCCCGCCCAATCCCCCAACTCCACGACCATGGACTTTTCCTCATTTACTTTCATACCAGTTGTGCCTCTGAACAATTGCACAACCTCATCTAAAGCCCCCATCAATATCCCCTCCCTTACCAAGACAGTTGCATCATCAACATAACCAATCACACCCGGCCAAACCCTCCCTACCCCAATCCCTCCCCCCCTCTCAGTGCACATGTATTGCTCTACCATTCGATAAAAGGGGTCCTTTACACATGCAAACAATAATTGTGACATAGGACACCCCTGCCCAAGTCCCATCCCCATTACAATCTCCTCCCCCAAGCATCCATTTATCTGTACCCTGGCCATGGCTCCCCGGTACAACGCATCTACCCAACCCACAATTTCATCCCCAAAATCGTCTCCTGAGGATAGCTCTCAATGCTCCTCTTTCCACCCTATCATATGCCCCCTGCCAATCTAATGCCAACAACGCCACCCCCTTCCCCCCTTTGATTCCACGAATCCCCTAAGTATCCCATGCCCCTCAACCACAGACCTCCCTGGCAACTCAAACTGAGTTTTCGATACCACCCGCCCTACTACGCACTTAAACCTATTCCCCAGTACCTTGGCAAACAACTTATAATCTGCTCATAATAACGAGATAGCCCGGTAGTCCCTAAGGGTGTGCTGCCCCTTTCCCTTCGGAACCACCAACACCACAGCAGTTGCCTGCTTCACTCCCAACGCTCCTCTCCTTCATTGAATTCAATAACCTTACCAAAAAAACCCTTATCAGCTCCCAATGCTGTAGATAAAACTCTGCCGGGAGACCATTGATTCCTGGAGCTTTCCCCTTACGCATCCCACGTAAAGCCCTCCATATTTCCTCCTCTGTTATTACCCCACCCAGTGCCTCCCTATCACTGCTCCCCAAATTGCAAGGCACACACCCACACACCTGCTCTAAAACCTCAGACCCAACCCCACCACTTTGCCAATACCCCTCGTAATATTTGTCTGCATACACACACATTCCATACATGGCCCATAACACCTGCTCCTGCCTATAACCTCCCACCAACTCATGTACCTCCAACCATGGAATAGCAGTAGCCTGCTGTTGTTGCTTCTGTTGACACAAGATGCACACCGATGGCCTGTCGCCCCATAACACCTCTTCCACCCCCGCCTGTACCCTCACAGCTTGAAACCTCTCGTCCTGTAATTCGCACAGTCTCCCCTTAATAGCAATAATGTCATCCATGGGATAATTACCCTCCCCCCCTCGCATAACAACCCCTTAGCATATCCTCCAAATAGTTGGCAAGTCCATACTTCAAGTTATTGATCCATTTCCCTTCTCTCGCATAATGTTGCCTAATCCTTTCTTTATTTCTTTAGCCACACAATCCCACCATGTCACCACATCCTTCACCCCATTTGCTTCCCACTGAGCCCCTCCCACAGTGTTGTAAACCCCTCCAACCCCTCCTCGTCACCTAACACGCTCGTGTTTAACTTCCAGTAACCCCTATAAATACCCGCAAGTGACTCCCACCCCACCTCCGCTACTACTGTCCGATGATGCAAATAAGCAATCTCTATTGTATGGAAATTTTTGACTAAAACCTCTTGGGAGAGATGCAATCTGTCTAAACGAGCCGCATACCCCCTCCTCACGAACGTGTGCTCAACCTCCCGAGACCCCCTCCAAAACGCATCCCTTAACCAAATATCCCTCAAGAGGTCACGCAAGGCCACAGACACATATCCCGCCCCTTTTGGTTCCACGTCTGCCCTTCGAATAATACAGTTCCAGTCCCCTCCTACAATTGCTACAGCTGGTAAGCCGCATAAGAAAAAACTAAATCATCACACACAAAATCCTTCTTCACTTTCACATCATGTTCCGCAGGCGCATACACACTTACAAAAGACACCCTCTTCCCCATCCACCACCCATCCACACGCAACACCCTCCCTCCTCCCCCCCTCGCTTCTTAATAAAACAAACGGGCTCGCCTCCTTAATCATGATAGCCACACCTCCTTTCAGACGGGCAGATGGCAGAGTCACCACCTGAAACCCTGCCACCTCCAACACTCTACCCTCCTGAAAATTGTGCTCCTGGAGAAACACAACATCCACTCTAGATTTTTGTAGAAACGTCCTAAACCATTCTCTCTTTACATTATTACACAAACCATTCACATTCACCGTCATACACCTGAGGCCGCTTATAGTTTCCAACCCTGTCTCTTCTCTCCATTCTTCCCAGGTTCTCCTGCACCTGGGGCACCACTGGTCTTCACACCACCTTCCCTACCTCCCTCCCCCCTTCTTTCGGTGCCGCTTGTCATGGCCACCATTACAATTCCCCTCCTGCCTCTCAGGCCTGTGCGCCGGCATCAGAACATCTGAGTCTGACGCCACCGCTCTCTTCCTCGTGTTGATCTCCTCCTCCATGTCATTGTCAAAGGAGGCCTCACAATGTACCTCAACGTCCACCATGCGATGTTCCACTAAACACGGCGACATCTCTCGCACACTGCTGGGCTCGTTGTCCCCACTGTGCTCCTGCCTTGCACTTGTCACTGCCTTTAACCCGTGTCCATGCACCCTCCCAGGTACATCCTTCTCCTTAGGTGGTGACAAAGTCCTCAACACCTCCACCAACTCTTCTTCAAGTGCCATCACATCCTCCTGTACGTGCACTTCTGCACTTGCCTCCGTCAAAGGCGGGGGTCCAGGTAAGTCCCGGCATGTCTCACTCACGCCAGTCTCAGCAAGGGGCTCCTCCACCACCTCACTCCACAAACAACCACACCCTTGCTCTTGCCTTCAGCCCTCATCGACTACATCCAATACGGGAACAGGGGCCTCACCAGTCTGTGCAGGCGCCTGTCTCTGCTTCACACACATTGCCACCATATGATCATACGCCCCACATAGGCAGCAGGTACGTCGCTGCCCAGCATATGACACTAGGACCTGGGTCTTGAAATCCTCCAAAATAACATAGGACGGGATGGGATGCCGAAGAGTCATCTTCAGATGGCCCACGTAAGCACCTGCTGCCCACTTGCCTTGTTGTGCCAGATATACAGATTTCCTGTCAAACTAAAAAAAAAAAAATTCTTGTCAAAACATATCTCACGGGATATATTTTACGGTCAGAGTTAATGACAGGATTTTTTTTTACTTCATACTCCATCCCACAGGAAGACTTCACTATTATACTTTCATAACTTTTCCGATAATCACAATATTTCACTTTCTCTAGACCCGAATATAAAATAATCATCTCGTAAAGCATCTCATGACTGAGCTTCAGATCACCTGCTTCTCCTTCCTTGAGAACACCCGGTTCCTATTCGTGAATATTTTTAGTAACAGGTGAACCATGGATTTCTTAGGGTGGATAACACTTGTTTTTCTCTTGCATCTGTGACTTTAGTGACAACAGGGGCACCACGTGAAGGTAGTCACAAACATAAATTACCCCCGCTAGCTATATAACACAATATTAACACAGGAAGGTCACATTTACTAAGTACTGATGTGTGGGAGGACTGGGGATCTGTGAAAAGGTCAAAGAGCATCATTTTATCAAAACTGGCATTTTTTGGAGATCTTTTTGAATTAGGTCCGTCATGCTGAACCTCCTCGTAGTTGCTAAAATCAAATAAATTAAGCTTTTTCGGTGGTGATACTAGGTTGAGCTTCCCACCAGGCAATATACTGATAGCTTGGGGACTAGTTGCGATGACCATAGTTTCTTCAAGCGTCAACTCCCCTAGATTATCAACATCCATATGTCCCTGCTCTGGTATGGTGATGTTGCTGCCGGAGAAGGTGATGGAGGCGTTAGCACCGACTACCACACTCTCCAGGGAGGCTATTTCAGAGTTTACAATGTCTATATTCGCGCCACTTACAAATTTCATGGCAGCTACGCCAAGTCTGGAGTTAGTTAAGTAAGCATAGTTCAGATCACTTAGTTCATCCAACTGCTGCAGCTCAGAATAGAAAATGACGAGTTCCAAGATTCTTCCGGGGATTCTGTTGACACTGGAGTATTGTATTAAGACATTCCTGGGCGGGCATTCTTGCTGGTGAGGAGAGATGATGACGGTGCTGTTGTAGATTCGCAGCATCTTACAGGCGGCTCCATGCAACCTTAGTTTATGCGCGTTATGTATGAACACAGCGAATACTGCGCTGCCCCACATAGCCAGATCCACCTCCTCATCCTGTCATGAAAACGTAACGTAAAATATAGTAGATGTATAGACGCAATAATTGTCGTTAATGTTAGTAAATCTGTTACTAAACTACTTCTTAACAATATACATTTTAAATATTTTTTTTTTAATCCATTGTTTTATTCAACTCATTATTTACATTCTCTTTATTTATATTTTTAAAAAGAAATGCGCTTAACAAATCTTGTCGCCCTATTGTACTCATTTCAGGGAACTAAAGTTAATTGTGATTCAAGCTTCATTTAGGGAAAAAACAATCACACGTCATTATTGTAAACTACGCGTAGCTGCCATGAAATTTGTAAGTGGCGCGAATATAGACATTGTAAACTCTGAAATAGCCTTCCTGGAGAGTGTGGTAGTCGGTGTGGTAGCTGGGAGCGCTTGAGGTTCCTAAACCTGTATTCCCTGGAACGCAGGAGGGAGAGATACATGATTATATACACCTGGAAAATCCTAGAGGGACTAGTACCGAACTTGCACACGAAAATCACTCACTACGAAAGCAAAAGACTTGGCAGACGATGCACCATCCCCCCAATGAAAAGCAGGGGTGTCACTAGCACGTTAAGAGACCATACAATAAGTGTCAGGGGCCCGAGACTGTTCAACTGCCTCCCAGCACACATAAGGGGGATTACCAACAGACCCCTGGCAGTCTTCAAGCTGGCACTGGACAAGCACCTAAAGTCAGTTTCTGATCAGCCGGGCTGTGGCTCGTACGTTGGTTTGCGTGCAGCCAGCAGCAACAGCCTGGTTGATCAGGCGCTGATCCACCAGGAGGCCTGGTCACAGACCGGGCCGCGGGGGCGTTGACCCCCGAAACTCTCTCCAGGTAAACCAGGGCAGAACTTACGCATATGTTATATTTACCTGTGCTTTGTTGATGTAGTTACAGGTGAGGCCGAGATGGCTGAGGGTACAAGGTGAACTTAAGCTGTTTTTCTTCTCTTTTCCATTAGAGGTATTGCAGACAAGAGTAAACGTCACCAACATGACAATCTTCAGCCCCACTGCTCTCATCTTCCTCTTGTGTAGCACTACAGTTTCTTCAGTAACACGCTTCAGGCCAGCGGAGAACCCTCAAAGAAATGGTAATGAAATATACTTAGCTATCCCCGAAAGTGTATCTTTAAGAGACTGCCTGATTGTGTTTTTACTACCTACAAGGTGTTTCTTAATATTATTATTATTATTATTATTATTATTATTATTATTATTATTATTATAATCAAAAAGAAGCGCTAAGCCAAGATAATCATATTATTAGTATTATTATTATTAAAGATTAGCCGGTATTCTCCCGGCCCGGGCCTTTTCCAAGTGGTGGCCCGGCCTTGGCTCCCTCTTTAGGGAGTGTCTGAGACCTAAGTCTCCCATGGGAGGAGGCACAAGTACCTCCTCATCTTTGGGACCAACTGTCCCCAGGCCTAGCCACAAGCTAGGCCTCTCTGGTCTGCCATCCCCGCCCCAAAGGGGCAAATGGGAATGACAGTCTTATGAGCTAAAGGCTCGGGCTCAGGCACCTACCCTACCCTAGAAGGGTTAGGCATGGTATCCAGATAATCGTACAGCTGATGGTGAGGTAAGGTACATAGCACTGCCGGGCACTACACCCCATTTGGAGGTACTCGTGTTCGTAATAGTATTTTTAAGCGCAAAAGTGTATGTATGTGAAAGAGAGAGAGAGATGAGAGAGATATCCAGAAATGATAATTCTTGATATCGGGATTTTTTTTATTTACGCTGATGGTTCTGTTCACCAATCCACTGGTGCAGCTGGTAGTGCTGCTGTTGTCGTACAGAGTGATGGCTCTCTTAAAGAAATTGGAGCACGCATCAATAATTGGGCCTCTACCCTTCAGACAGAACTGTTTGCCATACTCCTTGTACTGAAATGCATCTATGTATCAAAGATTGACAGTTTAATTGTAACTGATTCTCTGTCATCCATAAATACTCTCAACTCATTAAGCATAAATTGTGGCATGCTTGTGTCAGAAGCCAGACACAGGTATGGTAGGATTGTGGACAGTGGAGTCAGAGTGCACATGCTGTGGATTCCATCTCACATTGGTTTTCAGATGCATGATAGAACTGATAAATTGGCTAAGCTGTATGCTTTCAAAGAGGGAGTAGATTACAATCTTGGCTTGTCAGGTAGTAGTTTGAGAACAATAATACGAAAAGAACTTCAACTGAATTTTATGGACTTAAGGCTCAGGGAGATTGACACCAGTGAGTCCATCTATCATCATTCTATCATGCAGGAGGAGCCACATGTCTATGGTGCATCCAACAAAATAAGCAGACTCTTGGATGTCACTACTGCCCGGCTCCGGCTGGGTTACAAGTATCTTTGGCAGGTTAAATCACCACCACCAGATGTAGACCAAACGAAATGTAAACTTTGCCAGATGGACTATTGTCACACCTTGCGTCATTATGTACTGGAGTGTGATCAAATTAATGAATTTAGAAACAACTCACTCAGAAATGTTCAAGAAATGGCAAAGTATTTTATCCACAGTGGTATATTGCAGACCATTCTGGAGAAATACCCTGACTTTGCTAGTTGTAAATAAAACATTACCACATGTGTGCATGTGTGTGTGTGTGTGTGTGTGTGTATGTGTGTGCACTCCCCTAGTTGAGATTGCAGGGGTCGAGTCCAAGCTCCTGTGTGTACTCACCTAGTTGTACTCACCTAGTTGAGGTTGCGGGGGTCGAGTCCGAGCTCCTGGCCCCGCCTCTTCACTGATCGCTACTAGGTCACTCTCCCCGAGCCGTGAGCTTTATCATACCTCTGCTTAAAGCTATGTATGGATCCTGTGTGTGTGAGTGTGTATGTGTATGAGTGTGTGTGTGTGTGTGTGTGTGTGTGTGTGTGTGTGTGTACTCACCTATTTGTACTCACCTATTTGTGGTTTCAGGGGTCGAGTCCTAGCTCCTGGCCCCGCCTCTTCACCGGTTGCTACTAGACCCTCTCTCCCCCCGCTCCATGAGCTTTATCAAACCTCGTCTTAAAACTGTGTATGGTTCCTGCCTCCACTACGTCATTTTCTAGGCTATTCCACTGCCTTACAACTCTATGACTGAAGAAATACTTCCTACTATCTCTCTGACTCATTTGTGTCTTCAACTTCCAATTGTGGCCTCTTGTTTCTGTGTCCCCTCCCTGGAACATCCTGTCCTTGTCCACCTTGTCTATTCCACGCAGTATTTTATATGTCGTTATCATGTCTCCCCTGACCCTCCTGTCCTCCAGTGTCGTCAGGCCGATTTCCCTTAATCTCTCCTCATAGGACATTCCCCTTAGCTCTGGAACTAACCTTGTTGCAAACCTTTGTACTTTCTCTAGTTTCTTGACGTGCTTTATCAAGTGCGGGTTCCAAACAGGTGCTGCATACTCCAGTATGGGCCTGACATACACGGTGTACAGTGTCTTGAATGATTCCTTACTAAGGTGCCGGAATGCTGTTCTCAGGTTTGCCAGGCGCCCATATGCTGCAGCAGTTATCTGATTGATGTGTGCTTCCGGAGACATGCTCGGTGTTATACTCACCCCAAGATCTTTCTCCTTGAGTGAGGTTTGCAGTCTTTGGCCACCTAGCCTATACTCTGTCTGTGGTCTTCTGTGCCCTTCCCCCATCTTCATGACTTTGCATTTGGCAGGATTAAATTCGAGAAGCCATTTGCTGGACCAGGTGTCCAGTCTGTCCAGGTCTCTTTGAAGTCCTGCCTGGTCCTCATCAGATTTAATTCTCCTCATTAACTTCACATCATCTGCAAACAGGGACACTTCTGAGTCTAACCCTTCCGTCATGTCGTCATGTGTGTGTGTGTATGTGTGTGCACTCCCGTAGTTGAGATTGCAGGGGTCGAGTCCAAGCTCCTGTGTGTGTGTTTGTGTGTGAGTGTGTATGTGTATGAGTGTGTGTGTGTGTGTGTGTGTGTGTGTGTGTGTGTATGAGTGTGTGTGTGTGTGTGTATGAGTGTACTCACCTATTTGTACTCACCTATTTGTGGTTGCAGGGGTCGAGTCCTAGCTCCTGGCCCCGCCTCTTCACCGGTTGCTACTAGACCCTCTCTCTCCCCGCTCCATGAGCTTTATCAAACCTCGTCTTAAAACTGTGTATGGTTCCTGCCTCCACTACGTCATTTTCTAGGCTATTCCACTGCCTTACAACTCTATGACTGAAGAAATACTTCCTACTATCTCTCTGACTCATTTGTGTCTTCAACTTCCAATTGTGGCCTCTTGTTTCTGTGTCCCCTCCCTGGAACATCCTGTCCTTGTCCACCTTGTCTATTCCACGCAGTATTTTATATGTCGTTATCATGTCTCCCCTGACCCTCCTGTCCTCCAGTGTCGTCAGGCCGATTTCCCTTAATCTTTCTTCATAGGACATTCCCCTTAGCTCTGGAACTAACCTTGTTGCAAACCTTTGTACTTTCTCTAGTGTGTGTGTGTGTGTGTGTGTGTGTGTGTGTGTGTGTGTGTGTGTGTGTGTGTGTGTGTGTGTTTATGTGTGTGTGTGTGTGTATGAATGTGTATATGTGTGTGTGTGTGTGAACAATCAATATTTGCACCAATAACTCATTACAGTTGTGACCGGGTGTGGAAGTGTGAATTGCTCATTACACTATAATTTGTTCATGATTGTAGCCATGTATAAACGTAAGTAACCATTCTTACAGTATTCATTACCTTTGTAACTTGTGAGTTCATTACCTTGTACGTTCAGCCATCCAAACTTTGGAGCCCGGTCCCTGGACCCATTACGTACCTCTGTAATCTGTAAATACCTTTGTAACTTGTCATGATTGTGACTAGACCTACCTGGAGTTCATTACCTTTGTAAATTGTGAGTTCATTACCTTTGTAAATTGTGAATTCATTACCTCTGTAACTTGCTCAGCTATCAAAACTTTGGAGTCCAGTCCCTGGACCAATTATGTACCTCTGTAATCTTTTGACTACCGCCCACAGGATGGGTATGGGGTGCATAATAAACATATTAAACTAACTGCAGCTAGTACCGCCTAGTGTGTATGGCGCCACAGCTTCACCAACTGGACATCTCGTCACCCAATGGGTGAAAGGCCTCACTGCTAAATTTTGCTTTTATGACTGCTGTATTCTACCTATGCTTTGCTTTCTTCCATTCCTGTTGCATTATTCTCTCTCTCTTTCAGCATCACAACATAATACCAACCACTTACTTTTTGGGAAAGAATCCTGTCTTTCATAGTTGTGTGGTCTGCATCTTGTATCATCGTCTTCACATGACATACAGACACAGATACTTGTTGGCTGTGGTCACTTCCTGCAAATATAATGCAATTATAGAAAGCAAATATAATTATAAATAGAAGGGAATTAAAGCGACACACTATTTTTCTTGCTGGTCTAGCGAAGTTTATTCCAGTCAAGCAGAGGCCAGATATAGATATACACAAACTATAGACAGAAACATTACTTTTAAAATTTTGTGACATGTCCCACATGGGCCTCCATCATCATAGTAAAATCCATAACCTAACTAACATAACAATAAACAAAAATAATGCTGAATATAGTTTTGTATTAACAGATAGTTTAACTTTTGTCTAGAAAAGAACTAAAAAACGAATGTAAAGAGTAAAATGCCATAATTTGACGCTACGTTAAAAAGCAGTGTAGAAAACATAATGGAGAATATTCTTAACAGAGTGGTGGATGACGGGAATGGTATGAAAGAAGATATATTCCCAGATCTCTAAGAATTTTAATAAATGGTTAATTTATGCCAGGACACCATTAGGATATGCTTAGACACACACACACACACACACACAGTGAACAAGTCACAAGTAACGAGGCGGAGCCAGGAGCTAAGATTTGACCAACACAACCATAAATAGGTGACTACGCATCCTGATGCAACTGTGGGAATTCCCAACCATACAGGTGGTAAGTTGTACACGCTTGAAAATGATGTTCTCACTGAGCAGCCTTGATGAGATATACACTCCTTACCAGCTACATAGACAGCAGACAAGTAACATAGACAAACAACAGCAGACAAATATTGCAGATATTTAACAGTCAAGTAACCTGCAAAGAATAACAGACAAGCAAAGCCAAACAAACCAGCATCACAGGTTTATTACACAGACAACACAAAAAAGCAACACAGACACAAACAACACAAAAAAGCAATACAGACATACTACATAAGCAAGGCATGCAGCACAGATATACTACACAAAACACATAATAAATACATAAGCAACGTATGTATACTACACAGACAAGCAATACTGATGCAACGCAAAAAGCAGAAAAAAACACAAAGAGGACGTCATTTTTTATATCTTTGAAAATGAGAGAACACTCATGGTCTTGCGTGATTCAGGAAAGTGAACTTGACAAGGTTCACCTGAGGTCTCCAGGGTAGTGGAAAGCGGCAGTGAGGACACACGTCTGTCAAGCTGCAGTGAGGACACACATCTGTCAAGCTGCAGTGAGGACACACGTCTGTCAAGCTGCAGTGAGGACACACGTCTGTCAAGCTGCAGTGAGGACACACGTCTGTCAAGCTGCAGTGAGGACACACGTCTGTCAAGCTGCAGTGCGGACACACGTCTGTCAAGCTGCAGTGAGGACACACGTCTGTCAAGCTGCAGTGAGGACACACGTCTGTCAAGCTGCAGTGAGGACACACGTCTGTCAAGCTGCAGTGAGGACACACTTCTGTCAAGCTGCAGTGCGGACACACGTCTGTCAAGCTGCAGTGCGGACACACGTCTGTCAAGCTGCAATGAGGACACACGTCTGTCAAGCTGCAGTGAGGACACACGTCTGTCAAGCTGCAGTGAGGACACACGTCTGTCAAGCTGCAGTGCGGACACACGTCTGTCAAGCTGCAGTGCGGACACACGTCTGTCAAGCTGCAGTGCGGACACACGTCTGTCAAGCTGCAGTGAGGACACACGTCTGTCAAGCTGCAGTGCGGACACACGTCTGTCAAGCTGCAGTGAGGACACACGTCTGTCAAGCTGCAGTGCGGACACACGTCTGTCAAGCTGCAGTGCGGACACACGTCTGTCAAGCTGCAGTGCGGACACACGTCTGTCAAGCTGCAATGAGGACACACGTCTGTCAAGCTGCAGTGAGGACACACGTCTGTCAAGCTGCAGTGAGGACACGTCTGTCAAGCTGCAGTGCGGACACACGTCTGTCAAGCTGCAGTGCGGACACACGTCTGTCAAGCTGCAGTGCGGACACACGTCTGTCAAGCTGCAGTGCGGACACACGTCTGTCAAGCTGCAGTGCGGACACACGTCTGTCAAGCTGCAGTGCGGACACACGTCTGTCAAGCTGCAGTGCGGACACACGTCTGTCAAGCTGCAGTGAGGACACACGTCTGTCAAGCTGCAGTGCGGACACACGTCTGTCAAGCTGCAGTGCGGACACACGTCTGTCAAGCTGCAGTGCGGACACACGTCTGTCAAGCTGCAATGAGGTTATCTCAGGCTCTTCTATGAATTATCTCGACTGTTATTTCCATCAACAAAAGCTCTTTGTTCACACAAGTGGCTTTGTTCTCACAGCAGTGAGGGCCTGGCAGAGCTGGGCGCAGAAAACTATATGAAGTTCAATGAAGAGAAATTTCAATTGCTCCGATATGGAAAATTCGAAGAAATTAAAACTATATGGGAGTATAAAACAAACTCCAACCACACAGTAGAGCGAAAAACTAATGTGAAAGACCTGGGAGTGATAATCTCAAAGGATCTCATTTTCAAAGATCACAACAATGTTATCTATCATATCTTGTAGAAAAATAAGATGGATAATAAGAACCTTCAAAACTAGGGATGCCAAGCCCATGATGATTCTCTTCAAATCGCCTGTTCTCTCTAGGCTGGAATATTGCTGTACACTAACGGCACCTTTTCAGGCAGGTGAAATTGCTGACCTGGAAAATGTATAACCTTCACCCCACACGTAAGTACAATAAAACACCTAAATTACTGGGAGTAGTTGAAGTCCCAAACTTGCACACGAAAATCACACCCTACGAGAGCAAAAACTTGGCAGGCGGTGCACCGTCCCCCCAATGAAAAGCAGAGGCGCCACGAATACGCTAAGAGACAACACAATAAGTGTCAGGAGTCCAAGACTGGTCAACTGCCTCCTAGCACACATAAAGGGGATTATTATTATTATTATTTACTTTTTGATTATAATAATAATAATAAATTATTATCAAAGGGGAAGCGTTAAACCCGTAGGATTATACAGCGCCTGTGCACATAAGGGGAATGATCACTATACCCCTGGCTGTCTTCAAGAAGGCGCTGGACATATATCTGAATTCAGTACCTGATCAGCTGGGCTGTGGTTCGTACCTCGGTTTACGTGCGGCCAACAGTAACAGCCTGGATGATTAGACCCTGATCCACCGCGAGGCCTAGTCACGGACCGGGCCGTGGGGGCGTTGGCCCCCGGAACTCTCCAGGTATACACTCCAAACCTCTAGCTTTGAATTTGATTCTTTATTTCCCTGAATGAATGAATGAGACTGGGTAAGACCCCATGAATGTAATTATTACACGAAAGGTAATCCAGATTCAATTCAAGGAAAGGAAGAGTAGATCCATTATGTACACCGAACCCTTCCCAGGCATCAAGGCTGCCTTGAAGGTCCATAAATAATAATAATTAATAATAGCAACATAAGTATAAAAGCTAATACTACTAATAATTATAATGACAGCAACAATAATATAACAGTAATAATTAATATAATAACAGTAATATAATAATAGCAACATAATAATAATAAAAACAATACTACTAATACTAAGAATTATAATAATAATTTTTGCTTTTATTGTTTGCTAACATTCTTATTTTTTATGGTGTATTTTATACTATTTTATGGCTATGACGCCGAGTGACGCGTTGTAGTCAACTGAAGAAGCTTATGTACAAGCATTATAGATATCTTACATGAAATAAAAATGTATGGATTAATACTGATGAATGACTTTTTTTTTTTTTTTGGTCATTCGTCACTAATACCACTGACTATATGAACGAACTAGGTTCTAAACTTCAAGGAAAATTATCTTACTTATTTTTTGCAATGTTAAGTAACTGGACAAAATTACTGTTTTCATCTCGTCAGGCAGAAAGAGGAGGTTAGACAACTTTTTCAACTTTGCTTCAGAATATTCTTTCAATTTTGTAAATAAATGGTATACATTATCGACATGTGCAACATTTCAGATGTTGCACATGTGTCTAATTCTTCATTTTTCAATTTGGCTTCAGATTATTCTCTGTAATAAAAACCTGAATACGTACCGTATATCGCGGCCTATAAGACGCTCCAATGCATTAGACGCATTCCAATTTAGAAAGTAATAATAAGTAAAAAAGTTAGAGTGCCCAATAACCTCATTTCAGCTTGAAATCCTCACCAATTTTAACAAATTCATCACAAGCATTAAATTTACATTATGTAAAACTTACCAGTTGGTATAAACCTTGGTAATAAATACCGACAAGTTGGTTTAGAAAGACACGTAAGCAAACACTATGACATATTTATTAGAAAACGTTTCGGTCCTGGGACCTTGATCATTTCTGAAGTGATCACTTTAGAAGTGATCAAGGTCCCAGGACCGAAACGTTTTCTAATAAATATGTCATAGTGTTTGCTTACGTGTCTTTCTAAACCAAAACTTACCAGTACCTGATACTAGGATTGTCCAGGCATTCTCTGGGCAATCCTAGTTCGGGTCCTCATTGATAATCCACTTGTTCTGCCCAAGCTCTGGCCTCATTCACTATAGTTGATGTAAACACAGCATGACCACAATTCCTTTCATTTATTACCCAGTTCTTAATTTCATCTTCCACTGCTGGTCGTCTTGCTGCCTTGTGACGAAGATTATGCTTTTTCTTCTGTGCTGTCCTCAATCTGTCTTCTTGCTAACGCCACGTTCTATGTCTTATTTTCTTCTCCTTGTGGCTTAGCGCTTCTTTTTGATAATAATAATAATAATAATAATAATAATAATAATAATAATAATAATAATTATTATTTTCTTCTCTGCAGGTCTGTTGTCATGTATTTTGGTATTTATTTTATTTATTTTATGTCTTTACAAACAGTACATTGAGATTTTATATTTACAATAGTGGGTTGCAATGCAAAGAGAGCCTCTATTATGCCTAGGCATTATGGCTTACAGACTACTTAACACAGGATTATATCATAGTTGTACAGTAGGATAGTAATTATTTCATATTATTTCGTATAATCAAGTACCATTAATTTAAAATGTATGGTGTATGCATGTCTTCTCAGCCATCATACAAAGCATAATGGGCACCGTATCTGAAAATATAAAATTTATGGTACCTCAATATGGTTAAGATAATCTTATTACTATTCGTTTCTCACTGATCCTGGATTATCAAAATTATTTCACTGCCAGTTATAAACAAATGATACAGGACTACCTTACCCCGATGATCGAATCGAATCGAATCGAAGACGACGAGAGCTGTCGTAAGATGGGAAGGAAGAAGGATGGAAATAACTGGAAAAGGATGGGAAGGAGGGGAAGAGGAGGAATCAAGGCAAGTGGCCCAACCACTTTGGGACATGTTACTGGAGGCGTAGATGGAGATGTATTTCAGAAACACTGATGAAGACGATGTAGAAGGCAACAGGAACTCAGCAGGTGCTGGGTGCATCTTGCTGGATGGATGATTACTGCAACTTGAATGATAGGCGGCTGCAGGCGACAAGGAAGGAGCTCATCGTTGATTGGTCAGTTCATAGAGGTTTGGTGGTTACCTGGAGTCATGGCGTTGTTTTACGATTCAGTTCGTTTTCAAGACGTTTAAAACGTTGTAGAGGGAGCAAATTTATACGTGTCAGCAAGAGTTTTTGGCTGCACTCTTCTGCTTCTAGTTGGTCAACAATGGCCTTTAGAATAGTAGAAAGCTCAATTGTACGAAGAGTTCCAGCTGAGCAGGAAGAATCGATGGTAAACTTGACTTTCTTTTCGATGAGGTGAGAATAAAGTTCAGGAAGCAGCATGTCTTGATATTTTTCTGTAGTGTAGAAGTTGATTCCATTCCACGAAGTATATTTTTTTATTATCTTCATCGTTATCATGTCGAGAGTCGTGAGATGATGATTTTTTTTGCTGTTTTTTCTTTCTTGTTAGGTGTTGTTGAAGGTGGAAGTGAATATTCGTTGTCATCTTCAATAGACGAATAGGAAGATGTTTCTAGTGGCAAGGCTTCTGATTGGTCGGTTTCAATGAGGAGTGGTGGCGGTGAAGGCTTCTCATTGGACGTTGTTGGAGTGACGTCACTAGTTGTTGGTGGTGTTGGATCTGCTACATCCGAGGTTGTGACTAAGTCTTTGGTGAATTTGAGAATTTCTTCAAAAGGTGGCGATGCTGGAAATGAGAATAATGGCATGTTATTTAATGCAAATAACTCGTTGATGGTAGAGTTAAAAGATCCAGGTACAGCCATGTTCTGCATGTGAGCGTATAGTAGACAATAGTGGATCTTCGTTACGTCACATGTTGGAGGAGTGATGGTGGTGGTGGTGGTGGAGGCGGGTTGAGTAGATGCTTGAAGTAATTTTTTTGTGTCTGCTTGCAACTTTGTAATTGCGGCATGCGTTGGTGTGTTGTTGGTAGATTTTTTCTTTGTTGCATCTTGTTTCTTCATAATATCCTTTCTTGTAGGACATTTTGCTGCCAATGTATGGTGATCATTACTTTTACAGTTTAAACATGGTGGTTGTGTTGGAGCAGCAGCGGTACAGGAACTGAAGGTGTGTCCCTCACTACCACATGTAGTGCAGAACTTCTTGTCTTTTACTGGACATGCTTTGGTGGTGTGAAGAATAGCAGTTCCAGCAATGTTGGATGTAGTGATATCTCTCTGCTTCGATGTAGGTGGGACTGATGTAGTAATAGTAAACAGCAAGACCTTCGTTCAGAGCAGTGGCAGCCATGTTCACGTCGGTCAAGGTAACTTTGAGCATAGACGATGCATTCGGGATTTTGGTAATGCTATCAACAGTAGCCCAAGTATTTTGCGTTTCAATGGATGACTTGAGTTCAGCAATTGATTGAGAAGTCAGAATCTTGTCCAGTTTTTTTTAGGAATACTGATTTTCTTGCCCTGAGGGCAGGAGAGGATGTAACAGTAAATCCTTGAGCAGTAAGAGTAGTGGTGGCTTCTGTGGTGAGTAACTTCTCTGCTTCAGCATCATCGTGACATACAACAATGAATGCTTCTTTCAGTGACAAAATAGCATTGAATTTCACTTGCAATGCTCCCTGCACAACAGTGGCAAGAGCAAGCTTCGTTGAATCATCAACGGTACCACTTTTTGGCTTGATCTTTACACAATTTGCGTAGCTCATCGTGGAAGTAAAGGCGAAGGCGATGCTGGTAAAGGTTCCCCTCCCCAACGGGGATCGTAGGGAGACAGAGTAAGGAGAGCTGCTATGACTTGCCAGGGCGAGAGTCAAAAAGCAGAATCTGTGTCTGTGTCCCCCGATGATCTCTCCATCTTAACTGGTGAAACAGTCGCTGGTGGCTGAGTTGTTGCTGTCTGCACAACTGTACTGAGACTCACAGAGGGATACTGACGCGTCTTTGTCAATATCAGTATAAACAAAAATGGCTGCTTCAGCTATTGTTGGGCCACCGTATTTGCTTGGCAATATTTCACACTATAAGTACCATAACATATGGTAAATATGATTACCGGTGCCTAGTAATAAAGTGAAAATAACCAGCATGTGCTACCGATAACGTAGTATACAGTAGCAGTATTTTAAAGTGCCTACCATAAATGACGCTGCTTTGTGACTTCGGTAGTTTAAGAAATAAGAAAGGTGTTACTTCAGCAGGAATTTCGTATTCTGTCAGTATCCCAGTACAATATCTGTATTTCATAAATAGCCTGTCTCAAAACATTTTTAATTTACTGTAATTGTGAAACACGGGACTTGTTTTGGTTTCAATGACTGGGCATCGATGTAACTGGAGAGCTACAGCCCACCACGCAGCCCTGTATAGCCCTTGTGGTTTAGCGCTTATTTTTTATTATAATACAGCCAACCACACACACCAAACTTATACCTCCCGTCACTGATCTTCAGTTTATAGGACGCAGTTTTTTTTATGGGAAAAAAAAAATGCGTTTAATAAGCCTCGAAATACGGTATTTTTGTCTGGCAGGATAACGTGGTCTCCTAGATTTGAAAACGACGGAAAAACATGAATATGAGAGAGAGAGAGAGACCACAAACCTTTACGGATAACGACGCACTGGCCTGTCCTAGTCCATTGTCAAGTCACAACTGGGGCAAGAAACAGTATGGAAGGCTAGAAAGAGTTTATGTAAGTGACTGGCAACAGTATAGTGTGTACATGGATGAGTCAAGGTTGTTCATATTTTTTATATTAAAGTCCTCAAAATAAATATGACACCAATGAAATCAGACTTTATCATCACGATAAACATTGTTGTGGCTAGTGACTCCCACTGTTTACTGATGTTTATAAACATTGTTGTGGCTAGTGACTCCCACTGTTTACTGATGTTTATAAACATTGTTGTGGCTAGTGACTCCCACTGTTTACTGATGTTTATAAACATTGTTGTGGCTAGTGACTCCCACTGTTTACTGATGTTTATAATGATAGTGCTAATGAGGTCAGAGTTTAGTCCATTAATAATGAAAACAAAACATGTTTATATTTACAAATATAATGGTGAGAACGACTTATGATGTTAATTAATGAGAAAACTGTAATGTACAACTTCTTCGAAACTCTTATCTCCCCGAACTCTATTCTTAAAACGTTAAATAACGTTAATGTTTAATACTCTAGAAGTATTAGAAGAATTTTCACCGTATCACATTAGAGATTGTGTGAGGGAGGATATATACATTGAGAGATATGTTTCTGAATATTCACCATAAGTAAACTTTAATCCCATTTTTTTAGGGTTAAAGTATTTTTGTCCAATGGTGAACAAGTTATAAGAAATCTTAATGACCTTCATGCAGTCGGTAGGCTTTAACTCAGTTAACCAACCAACAGTATAAAGACAGACAATAGGAATAAATAGATTAAATTTGTAACTTAGCCTACCCAGCACTGACTGGGACCTAAATACTAGGATCTGACTTTGGAATGTGCTTTAAAAAAGTGATAAGTGCCCATAATCGTTTTAGAAAGCATATATATTTTAGGTTAAGATAAATGATAGAGGCGGTGGGGTATGGTACACGTATTGCACTGGTCTTCCACGAATCTTTGAGGAATTAGCAGACGACTGTGTAAAATACTGTGACAGATCGCACAAATATAACTGCAACCGGTGTTAACCATTATAGAACCTGAGGAGGTGACTTGGTAATAGTGCTCGGCTCACAAAGGGATCTGGGTTCGTTAACCAGTCAAGACGAGACATATGGACAAGCTGCTGAGAGATATGGTTACAAAGCACATACCATCTAGCCAAAGACCAAGTTAATAAAGTAGTGAGTAGACACCAACAAGACAATCGGAAGCAAAATCCATTCAATCACAGTATAAGGAGAGTCCACAAAGCTATGTAAACACTAATTCCACTCACTGTATACAGAGACAATCTTCCCCCTAGGACCTGAATCTTCACTAGACTAACATGTTGCGCATTTACTATCTTATCAGTTTTATCATTGCCTAATGTGCGTTATGTTGTTTGTAGATCGTGGAAATATAAACACATATGGAGTATAATGTGATCCTTTATTGACAACGTTTCGTCCACACAGTGACCTTTTTCAAGTCACAAACAGATCTACCTGGAGTGGAAGGTACGCGAGTATTTCTAGTCAGTTTCAGAATGCTGAGGTCAAGTGGAGAATGCTGCATCTGATGATTTACCGAGTGGGGTTATAGAGTCTAAAATCTGGGTAGCTTGGAAGGGAGATTGGATAATGTTACAAAAAAACGCGATTTCTAATAAGCATAGAGATCTCCAGTGAATACTAGAGTACTGCCCTTCTATCATCCAGCCTGTTATTGGGTTTTCGTAACAAGTAGTCAGTATCCTGGTCCAATTATCCATTAAAATTTAGTAAGATTCAATAGTGCTTCAGGATTACAACTGGTAGGCTACTAACTAAAGAAATTAAAATTTAATAAGTTTATTAATAATAAAATTGTCTAGGCGTATATTATCAAATTAAATTAATGTAATGAACATAATCAAAATATTCACTTCTCTCGTGTACAGTAGTATTGTGCTGAAGGCACATATCACCATTATGGCTTTCAAGTACCGTCTGGTACATTGTTAGCAATTAGTAACATAATACAAATATATACAAGTAAGTTTGTGTGTATGTGTGTAAGTGTTCTAAGTAGTTCGCTATGTCTCAAGACTCGACTAGACTTAACCAGTGACTGACTAAAAGTCCTCACATAAAATAACTTCTTGACCAACCTGGCAGCCAGAACAGCTTGCTTGAACAATAAAACGACTGATAAGCCGAACAGCAATATAACAAGCAACAGCGACACAGTATCAGGAACAAGGAGATAATATAACGACACTAAGTGGGACCATCAGCAGATCCTCCACAAAAGTCACAAAACTCCCATACTACTGAATCTAAGTTCAGCATTAGAAAATCCCCGACTGTGACAGTACACAGATACCAGTACAAATTAGGTCAGAAGCTACAGCTCAGGACCTGAGTTGCTCAGTGTGTCTATAAGACACACAACCTCAGTACAACGTCAAAAAATCACTAAGTCTAGGCTATGTTCTGTGAACAGAGTTACACAGAACCAACAAGAAAGCGACAGAGACGATCTTCCAACAAGGGCCAGCAAGGGAGAGCTAGGCACGTCTTGTTCGAAGAACGTCAGACAAGAGAGGGCGAGTCAAAACCAGACAGTCTCACCCAGGTGAGGTGTGATCACCCCCCCCCCGATCACGTGATAGCTCCGTGCTGCTGCTGCCCAGCAACACCGAGAAGCCGGCAGGGGAAACAAGTGGAACTGGTAGTTAGACAATCAAGACTTGAACTATGAGCACTGAATAATATATATAAATGTTACATTGTACCTAATAATATAACTAAATCAAATAATAATGTAAAGCAATATATTTACGATTTAGCTATTATCGCAAAAATAAGCAATATAAAATTATATCAACAAGTTATATACATTGTGACCCATTCAGGGGTCGCAATAGATAAGTATGTGAGTAGACCTTCTGCAGTGTTCCTCCATTCCTATGTTCTTATGTGGGATAGCGATGAAGAAGTTTCTTGGCAAGTGGTTCATCTATGTTATAGAAGTCATTGTTCTGGTTGAAGTTGTTGGATATAGAGATAAGCGATAATTCTATGATTCTTCGGTATTGATTCTATGATTGTTCGGTATTTGTAGATCGTATTTGAAGACCTGGAGTATACCTGGATAGGATTTCGGAGGTCAACGTCCCCGCGGCCCGGTCTGTGACCAGACCTCATGGTGGATCAGGGCCTGATCAACCAGGCTGTTACTGTTGGCCGCACGCAACCCGACGTACAAACCACACCCCGGCTGGTCAGGTACTGATTTTAGGTGCTTGTCCAGCACCTTTTTGAAGACAGCCAGGGGTCTATTGGGCCCCTGACACTTACTGTGTTGTCTATTATCGTGCTAGTGGCAACCCTGCTTTTTATTGGGGGGGGGGTTGTATCGTCTGCCGAGTCTTTTGTTTTCGTAGGAAGTGATTTTCGTGTGCAAGTTTGGTACTGTTCCCTCTAGATTTTCCAAGTGTATATAATGTATCTCTCCCACCTGCGTTCTAGGGAGTACAGGTTGAGGAACTTCAAGCATTCCCAGTAACTAAGGTGTTTTATCTCCGTAATGCGCGCCGTGAAGGTTCTCTGTACATTTTCTTGGTCAGCAATTTCACCTGCCTTGAAAGGTGCTGTTAGTGTGCAGCAATATTCCAGCCTAGATAGAACAAGTGACCTGAAGAGTGTCATCATGGGCTTGGCCTCCCTGATTTTGAAGGTTCTCATTATCCATCCTGTCATTTATCGTTCTATTGTGTGATTGGAGTTTGTTTTATACTCCGATATAGTTTTAATTTCCTCACGTTTTTTCATATCAGAGTAATTGAAATTTCTCATCATTGACCTTCATATTGTTTTCTGCTGCCCATTTAAAGATTTGGTTGATGTCAGCCTGGAGTCTTGCAGTGTCTTCAATGGAGGACACTGTCATGTAAATCCGGGTGTCATCTGCAAAGGAAGACACGGTGCTGTGGCTGACATTTTTGTCTATGTCAGATATGAGAATGAGGAACAGAATGGGAGCGAGTACTGTACCTTGTGGAACAGCTTTTCACAGTAGCCGCCTCAGACTTGACTCTGTTTACTACTACTCTTTGTGTTCTATTTGTTAGGAAATTACAGATCCATCCACCAACTTTTCCTGTTATTCCATTATCACTCATTTTTTGCGCTATTACACCATGGTCACATTTGTCAAAGGCTTTTGCCAAGACTGTGTATACTACATCTACGTTTTGTTTGTCTTCTAGAGCATCCAGGACATTGTCATAGTGGTCCAGTAGTTGGGACAGGCAGGAGCGACCTGCTCTAAACCCATGTTGCCCTGGGTTGTGTAACTGATGGGTATCTAGATGGGTGGTTATCTTGCTTCTTAGAACCCTTTCAAAGATTTTTATGATATGGGATGTTAGCGCTATCTGTCTGTAGATGGCAAAGTCTTCCCTCTCTTCGATGAGTAAGATACATGTGAACACTTGGATATCTGATGTATAAAGACACGTGTGGAACATATATCTGCACTGCTGAAAGGTTTCGCCCGTGCATCTGACTTCTTCAGTCAAATACATTCCTCAGCCTATCAGTGTTGAGGGACTGATTAACTCAAAATGATTACTTGTATTATTTACAGTGTTATATTCCTCTGTATTTGACTGAAGGAGCCTCGTCTCACACACCGAGTGTTCGTGGTTCAATACCCCGCACGGATGGAAATGTTGGGCATGTTTCCTTACACCAAACCTGCGCACATAAATCACTCTCTATGAAAGCAAAAGACTCGGCAGGAGATGCAACATTCCCCCGATGAAAAGCAGAGGCGCCACGAGTACATTGAGAGGCAACACAATAAATGTCCGGGGCCCAAGATTGTTCAACTGCCTCCCAGCATACATAAGGGGGATTACCAATAGACCCCTGGCTGTCTTTAAGAAGGCACTAGACAGGCACCTAAAGTCAGTACCTGACCAACCAGGCGTGCGGCCAGCAGTAACAGCCTGGTGGATCAGACCCTGATCCACCATGATGCCTGGTCTCAGACCGGGCCGCGGGGGCGTTCACCCCCGAAACCCTCTCCAGGTAAACCTGCTGTCCCTGTTCACCTTGCAGTAAGTAGGCACCTGGGTTTTAGTCACCTTACACCTGCTGTACCTGTCCACCTACTAGTGAGTAGGCACCTGGGTGTTAGTGGACTGGTGTGGGTCGCATCCTGGGGGACAAGACTGAAGGACCATGATTGCAGTATCTCATCTTAATAAGAGAGACAGTCGTGTGTGACACACTGATATTCTTGGGTTACCTGGGTGGTTAACGCTTCCTGCCCCGGCTTAAAAATATGTACAAATCTTATCTTATGACAATGATCAGCTTGTCCATGTCATATACCCATAATTATCTTATGACAATGATCAGCTTGTCCATGTCATATACCCATAATTATCTTATGACAATGATCAGCTTGTCCATGTCATATACCCATAATTATCTTATGACAATGATCAGCTTGTCCATGTCATATACCCATAATTATCTTATGACAATGATCAGCTTGTCCATGTCATATACCCATAATTATCGGTATATAATTATAATTAGATATTTTTCTCCCTTAATATAGCAAAACATAGTTTTCTATAAAGCGTCTATATATCATAGAAAACGAAGAGATAGAGAATATAAACTATTCTATTCCTCGAGTGATATTATTATTTACATATATATTTTGGTTTATATGACTGCATAAGTTTATCATAACATTATATATTGATATAATGTACTCACATGCAGGTGGTTCATGGATCGGTGGTAGCGTCTTAAGCTAACAACAGAAGGAGCCTGGTTCGATTCTGGGCTGGGTTGCACCGGAGGGCATATTTCCCTGTATATTTTGCCCCTGTTCACCTAGCATCAAGTAGGTACCCGGGTGTTAGTTAACTACTATGGCTATAAGTCACACTGGCTTCCTTGGCTTACTAACCATCAATGTTTACTAAGTTGTGGATACTCTTCGATGGACAGTTTTCTTTTATGGAAAATAAGATAGTCCCCCTTTGTACAGATTGATTTGTTAGGGAGAGAGTCTGGTATATATACCAAGGTATATTGTTACATGTGTAAGTCCGTCTTTATATCACTGGTATATACACCTTGCTAGATATTCATCATGTCACATTTTTCTACTAGAGTAAACGCATCGCCATTTAAATCTTAGATATTGTTACTAACAGTCCATTAGTGGTGTTTCACTGAGGGACCTGAGAAGTAATCAGGTGACAGTCCTCGGGAG